ACAAGGGAAACCCGACGTCCAAAGTTGACCTGCTTTCCGTGATTTGTTTACAAATACCCACATCAGTGCCCCTACCTCCCCGAAGAAAACTACCGGGAGTTATCCCCTCCTGCGGATCGGCTGGTGAAATATAGCGGAGAGGACATTGGTCCCAACAGTTTCCAGACAACGACATTCCAGGTCAGGTGGTCAACACGAACATGATCATTAATACAGGATTATTTTTCCCTCAAAGTCGATGAACTGATGTGAACCCAGGCCCTTGGCTTAGGCTTGAGGGTAGCGTTTTTAATATAAGTAAAACTTGTGTCAAGCGTGCCAGCCACGCTGCAGTGGATGGATTCAACGCGGGGCGAAACCGATGGGAGTCTCCTTTCAGTTCGTCACACTCAACCCCCCAAATAATGTCAAGGTTGTATCGTGGTGTCAATGCGTGTGTCTCACTCCTACTGATACATAATATGATAATAGGTATATGAATGTCAAACTATGAATGACAGTCTCTGTGATAGGCGTCAGCATGTCCACAGGGTATAACCAAACACGAGCCATTAACGCAGCGTGATGCTTAAAAAAGTCACTTCGAGGCAAAAGCAAGCCGTGAAATGTTTCCAACTCAAAAGCTTAAAGTTAATAATAACTTTAAAATAGTTATCATGTAAACATCAATACATTAAAACTCAATTAAACCCAGTGAATAAAAAATTTACAACTTCACTATTAACAGATTAACGATTATAAAAACCTACTACCTATGAATTAAAAAAGGTGAGATTTTCAACCAGACTTAAAACTCTGAACACGTTTCGACTTCCTAAGGTGAGCCCCAAGCTGGTTCCACAGCCGGGGACCAGCCACAGACAGAAAACATTCTTTCACCCGTGGAAACTAGCCTGGCTTTAGGACAATTTAATCGAGAATTGCCTCGTGTTAAACGAGTAAATGTAGTTGGAATTCTGATACTTAGCACATCACACAAAAAAATTGGGAGCATAACCACGGAGATATTTAAAAATCAAGAGACAGACTTTAAAAATCACCCTGTGCTAAATGCCGGATCAGGGGGACGGGGGGGGGGGGGGGGGGGGGGGGGGCAACGGGGGTCATGCCCCCCCAAAAAAAACAAATGAGGGGCCCAATTTTCTTTTAAGTGGCGTCGCAATAAAGGCACGTACTGCGTACACCATTTTTCTCAAAAACAAATTGGTTAAAGTAGTCAGACATTGCCTCAGATCGCACCCAGAGCATCTAGAATCCAAAATAAAAAATATAAAAAAATCGGGGCCCTTAATCGAGCCCCGAACCCCTCGCTGTAATTTGTTGGACCCACATTTTGGGGGACCAAAACTTTTCCCCAAAAAATTGTGTTCTGGATCCGCCCTTGCCTCAACCTCGTCCCCAGTGCTTACTTTATTTCCAACCTAGTTCCCAATAGTAAGCCCTGGATAGGAAACTTTCTTTCTGTGTCCTGATTCGATATCGCAAATTGCTAATCATGGATTTTTATTGTGTAGTTCGTGTTGTTATTTCCAACGTGCATTACGTGTCATTATTGTAATTATAACGTCCACGCCTTCTCAAAAAATACTCCTTTTCTTTCCAGTTTGCTCATATAAATATAAAATGTGATACTGCATATTGGCGGGACGGATTCTAACATTTTAACATCCCCCAAAAATCGCGTTTTTATAACTCACGACGCGACGAATTGATGCTGTTTTTACCCCAGACGCCGCAAAAAAACCCAAACGCTAATGTAACGCACATGCAGGCACCAGACTATTCCAGTCATTTGCATACGTGTTCGAAAATCTTGCACATGCAAATGATCCAATACCAGGGTGAGAGAGCAGGTAGTGGTGGGCGCGTACTGCTCGACACCCCAGGGACTAGGTTGCCCTTGCCTATGCTTGACTGGCAACCATGTGCAATTGCATGAGAGCTGCAGTGATGTGGCTATGTTTTTGTCGTAACGTTGAGCAACCTGGCCGTAGACTTGAGAAAAGTCGTGTTTTGTCTGTCTACAAGCAATAGGCCTATCTACTAGGTGTGCATGTTAATAATGTGTTGGCTTCGAAATCGACCCACACGCATATTAGGGCCGAGGATGCACAAATCGTCCTCGCGTGTAAGTGCCATATCGTACGCAACACGTATTTCCGGATCGACTTGATTTCAAGTCTACCTGCTGCAGCATTCTGCACCCTCTGCAAAGAGTGAGGGATGCGGCAGAGAGACCTGCTAGCAAGGGCGGATCCAGGGGGGGGGGGGGCCAAAGGGGGCCATGGCCCCCCCCCCCAAAAAAACGAAACCATTTTTTTTTTTTTTATCTGACATCGCAATAAAGGCAGGCAATGGGTACACCACCATCTTTTCCTCAAAAAAACATTGGTTAACGTGGTCAGCAATTGCCTCATATCGCACCACAGAGCATCTAGAATCCCAAAATTTTTCGGGGCCCTTAAAGGGAATATACATCATTTGCTTTTGCTGTAATTTTCAGAAATGGATGGAATTGGGGGGTTGGAAATATAAAGCAAATATAGTTGCACTGACTTTTGGAGGTTTTGGGTTCGAAAATGCTATAAAAACCAAGAAAAACGATCATTTTCCTGTAGTCTGGTTCCCTGACTCCATATAAGAAGAAACAGAGCAGTTTACATACATTGGGGAATTGTAAGGTCAGGGAACCAGTCTAGCTGGCTCGTACCCGTTCATAGGTTTGTAATCGATTGCAAACAAGTGCAATGGTCAATTGGGGCCAGTATTTGAAAAAAAGCCAGTTGTTTCCAACGCTGATCGGCCGATCAGCGTTGGAAATTGATACAAAAATACCACTTTCTTGAAAATGACAGTATACCAGGTGCCATAATTTTACAGGATGCTTCAGGCTGTCATTTACCAACATCCTATTAAGGTATTTCGCAAAAACTTGGTAGTTTTTTTTTTCGATGTTTGCAAATGTTGTATATTCCCTTTAAGCGGGCCCCGAACCCCACGCCGTAATTTTTTTGACCCACTTTTTGGGGGCACCAAATTTTTTTTTGGCCCCCCCCCAAAAAAATTGTGTTCTGGATCCGCCCTTGCCTGCTAGAAACTTATGTGTCAGTCAGCTATGTATTTTAACGCGTCATGTTGCATGATTGTAGGCCGAAAACTCTGGACTTTTTATTTAAATATAATCCAGAGGAGAATTTGATATGACTGGAAAGCGGCGTCTGTGACCCCATTGCGTGAATGATCGTATTGTATGTATTCCGCCCTGGTATTAAAAGAAAATGAACCACTGCAACGTGTGGTTATGACAGGAGAACCTCCAAGATACAATATCAGACTCATCTCATCATTGTTTTTATTGTAATTTTCTTTACAAAAGAAACCCATTTCCCCCCTGTAGCCATCACATGATACTTGTGAACATAGACGTGTTGCTATATACAGTAGCAGGTAGTATTATGCATGATGAAAATCGTAAACTTGTCATGTTACTGCGATTCCCAGCAAGAATAACAAGATTGAACCTGTCAGATTCACACTGTAGATTATTCTGTCTTGTTACATGGCGGACTATCTTGTCAAGATGACAAGTTTTAAACCCTTTCATTTACATGTGTGAGTTCTCTGATCAACACGGGAATATGCATGTTTCATTGAGAGGCAAGCCTTGAGTAACGAGGGCTTATAATAGTAACTCTCGACATCTCCGTCTCTTAGTTCTGCAAAGAAGAATCGTGAATGAATGTGTTGGAAGACTCTGTTAACAATACCATTATCAACACAGACACACAGACTGTTTTTTTCTCGCTACGTTAAATTGTGTTCTTTTCTCAAGGGAAACTTTCAACTGTAAAACGAAATCGTTCCATAAAACCATCGCCACCATTGGAGACGTCGTCGCTACAAGATATTCTCTGAAGTCATAATAAATGGAGTAGGCTAATGCTTCAAGATCGTTTCATCATATTGTGGAATTACACAGGGATAAGCCGTAAAGTCACGACAGTACATTATGTCATCGGGCCAAAGTAGATTTCTTTATTCTATTTATAAACTGCATGACTTGTGTAAAATGCCCAATGCAAACATTACAACTACACAGGGAACTTATCGGCATCCAAACATGCGAAAAAAGATAAGACAAGTTGAGTGAACATTATTATGCTCTTGCCCATTGACAGTTTTTTGATAACCAACGTCACATGACGCACCGAAACTCTCAAGTGTTTATCATTCTCCGAGTTTAGACATTTTGTTTTTCTGAAATTTCAGACACTAATCTTTGCACGAGACCAAAGATAACAAGGAGGTTTGGTTCACCACAATATTTTATGCCAATTAAAAACAAATAAAAACGCACAAACATCGCACTCCTGTAAAGGTTGACCTACATAATATAGTCGCGATGATGAACTGTTGGATTATACGTCTATTTAGCAACTCCTGTTATAAAAGTACGGATTTTTTATTTTCGTGTTTCTACTTCTTGCATCGTATCTAGCCGTACCATTCTCGATCATCGTGATTTGTATCCTTCCCAAATTACTTTCACATCATTTCCTACATAATTATACAACAGTAGACTTTATTCACCTTAACTCATGTAACCTCACTCAATTATGTGGGCCCAATTGATCTACTTTGCCAAAAAAATATGCCCGCCGAATCTTAGAACGCAAAGCTATAAAGACAACGGGAATAAAGAAATACGCACCTTTGCACAGAAACATTTAAAACAATGCTCCCGATAATAACAGAAATACTTACTTGCTGTCACAGTTCAGTAACTTTAATATCAAGCGTTTATAAACCGTCGCTTCCAAAGCTTTTAACAGAAGTGAATACATGATTTGAAGAGCCGGTTAGGGCTTCGAAATTGTCAACCTTTTCTATAAAATGTTTCCGGTGTCTCTTCAGCTACACATATTAATGTGTTGTTAAAAAGACACTAAAAATAATCGCGTAATTGCAGCAGCCCTCAAGAATACATGAAACTTACTTACCATAGACAAGACAGATGATGAAAGTGATGTATCTCATAATGCCAGCTTATGAACCCACCGATAGCCTTCGTGTCCAGTCTGTCTTCGATTCCAAACTCCTCTTCTTTTACCGCAAAACAACCTTGACAATGGTCACGACACACGAATAGCAGAGCACAGTCACAGTGCGAGCAGGCGATAACCGGTATACGAGCGCAATTGGAATGAGTGCGGACCTTTCATCGCCTTTTATACAACCACCTTGGCGGTGATATGAAACACGCTTCGTGATTGGCGGAAAAAGAACAATAAATCTGCTGACGTCATGTGAAGTTTAACGAGATATGTACTGCACGTGTTTTATTCCATTACTAAAACCGGTTTTCTATACTTTACCTTAAAATGTGATAAAACGAACCTACTGTCTCTCGAGCAAACGCGGAAGTAGTTGTAATACTACGGCAGATAGGTGGTGGGATTGTGCCTATTTGATGACACAAGCATAGAATTTGGCACATAGTCAGAGTATGTCATGAGAAAGATATTTGACCATTAAATAAGATATAAATACAATAACAAGCAATGGCAGCCATTTTGAAAATTTTGAAAATTGCTTGTTCATTTTACCTATATTTTTTTCAAAGAACAAATCTGCGATGGCCCTATAGCCAAATATCTTCTCATGACATACTCTGACTGTGTGCCAAATGCCATGCTTGTATCATCAAATGCACAATTCCCCCAAATATTTCCCCTTTTCTGCCCTACTGTAACAATCGTTTCCTTTTGTGGTGGTTTTCCCCTCGAAAATACCCATTTAGCAAACTTCCACGGTAGGTGCCCACACTGTTTCCTACCGCACCCACCTCGATGCCATTTCTCCAGGAACTCACCTTCTGATTCTATTTCCCCTTTCCATATAACAGCGGGATTTTCCTATAACACTACTCACGCACCCATCCCTCCTATTTCGCATTCGGTGTAGGGACTACTGGTTGAGTATCCTACTGAGCAATATTCAAAGTCGCGGTATTGTAGCATTTGTGCGTCGGTATATACAGCATCGATTTAAGAACTAAACCGTAATCTTTGGACACTTCTCAGAAAACACTCATTCGCAGTTTCATGTTTTACATATATTTTTTTTAATTCAAAACGGCGTACAAAAACGATCGGTTTCCGCATAGCTGTCTTCAATTTAATAATAAATAGGTCACTGTGACAGCTTTAACTACTCTACACGTCTTTGACGCTTCTGATGATAAAGCCCGAGCTATTCGATTGGTCATCCACGATTAATAAAATTCGACTGGCACCGCGTACTCTATCTAGCCTATATGAAATAGCCGATTGCAGAGAGTGTATTATGGTATTCGCGCAGATTCGGCGATTATTATGCAAAACAAGACTGTGTCTTGACCTCAAGATGACCATTCAGCGGGCGCCTGCTTGGTAAATATTCAGGACAAAGTTTTATACTGCTCAAAGGTCACATGAACTTTAAAATGCGGTGCATCCTAAATTGCCTAAATCAATTTAATTATTTCTCCCTGTTATTTAAATTGACAACTGATAAAAAAACATAAATCGCGGTATAATTGAGCAAGCGTCTCTTTTGAGGTCATTTTGACGAGTGGAAATGAGACAAACTACAAAAAAATGACTAAACAAAACAAATAGGCCATGGAGTAAAACTCTGCATTGACGACAAATTCATGGATCTATCGTACTAACGGGGCAGGATTACTTGAAAAAGAAAATGTTTGTGTCTGCGTTAGCCACCTTACCTTACTGGGCTTAATGATGAGTAATAATATTGATCTCAAGCAAAGTCTACAATTTTAAATTAGAATAATTGTCAGAACTCTTTTTTCCAACAATGATTTATATGCTTTTGGCATAAATCAATATTCTGATGACAAAAATCATTCTGGATAGGCATGACACTCTACGAAATGGCTGGCGAACGTAAAGGACCCGTCTCCCAAGCCCACATGCAACGTCATCACCGCAACGATGACGTCATCACCACCACAAACTGTATTTCAGTCTTTCTTTTAGTATAATTAGGTGCAGGAAAATGTCAGCACGGATATCGGACGTGGACTTACCGGCATATGCGATCCTCACGGCTCCCGATTAAGTAGCCGAGAGTTACTGTCAGTGATGGAGTCTGGTCACAAAATTGGCTTGTCATCTGCAATGAGCACACAATGTTTAACGCGATTCCAATACCGGCATAGGCCATGCAAAGTTGAAACAATAATTGTGAAACTTTGCCTCCATCATTATTGTTCGGTGATGAAGCAATCATGTTTTGGCTCATTACAGTGAAAAGGGGGAAAAAGCTCAGTAAATTTGTTTATCAGATTTATTTTCGTTCTCCCACAATATCCATTTGTTTTATACCTTTATCCAATCCTCAACAGGACTTCAAAGCTTGAACAAGCAAAACTAATTTGACATCGCAACAATTTAGATTGAAAACCAAATATAGAGAGTCTTTTATTTCCATATATTGTGTAAATCGACATGTTCGAAGGAAACTTTTTTTCACACTTTTGTCACGGGTCATCCAAATGGAGATTATCTCATCAAAAGTACATTCGGCGATTCTTGAATGAGGATGTGTTTCACCATATCATGTAAGTTACATTAATCCATGAACAAAAACTCAGAATAAGTCATTAAGACCTGTAATTTTCCCTAGCAGTGCTGCAGTGAATGTTTGTTTTTGGTGCGCGCTTAAGCGGGCCTGTTTGTCATGCGACATTATACATGTGAAAAATAAATGAATACTGAAAAATCGCAATAAGACCGCCACAGACAAATATTAGATCACGATGTTATGTGGCTCTTGAGCTGTCGCCTTAATAATGATGACCTATGATGGATGATACTACGAGACACTTAGACATACTTGTATTTTCTGAACGCAATCTAGGATACTCTATATTACAAAATAATGCAATAGTTTTACCGGGCTTACCCCATGTATCGAGGAAAGTATGTTGTGCCCCGCCACCATTAATCCTGAGTGGCGGCAGAGAGGGAAACTAACCGTTTTGTCATTGATTTCCAGCGTCACTTTGTTTGCAGACTTTTCATGGTGACATTTGCCGTTCGAAGGAGACCGGGTTCAGGTACAGCAATGTGTTTGCTTTCTTCACATAATGGACTTTGTCATAACCAGGATTTTTAGCAGAACTGACGGTGGATAAACATTTCAAAAATTGCTGACATAAATAGGTCTTGGCTGCCAGATGGTTCGATGTGATGTAGGCTACACATCATGTATAAATCTATTAAAAAGAAAAGGAGTCCCCCCCCCCAATCACCACACTAATTCCAGGGGTGGAGGTGGGATGGGGAAGAAAAGCCCAATTTTGTTCAGAACTTTACTGGTGAATATGGGTCTACGGAGCAAGACACGCAGTCGTGGGCTATCCCGCGCATGCTGGCTAAATGAGTTGTGACAAACTTGATGATGCCACCCGTAGCAAAGTACGGCGATATGTAGCCCGCCCTCAATGTATTACAACGCACTTCTTCCGGTTGATCTCCAGGTAATAATGCACCAGTATTGTAAACCCAAGTGATAAATGCCCCCACTTCCAAAACTCTAGAAAAATACTCACAACTCTCCAAGGTGTTTGAGACACACATCAAATTAAAGCTTATTTCATCATCTTTCATGTTCTGTTCAATTTTTGGGGGGTAATCAGATGAATTTTGGGATAAAATCCCATCCAAAGATGATCATCCATAAAAGTAGTTCTGAAGCCCATCGCCATTTTGAAAAAAAATGATGTCTGCATTCCATTGCAATGTAGAGCAATTGCATGTTGGGCCCAATTTCATCAATTTTCTTTTACAGAAATACAAGCTCCCAGTCCTTGAATTTGAGTTCATGCAAATCCGGCGTCGGCCAAATCGGCTAATCACGACTTTAATTTTAACATTTCTTTCTTGTTAGAATGAAGAATCCCAGCTCTGTAAAAATGACTAAAACATTACTAACACATTGTCGTAAAGGTTGGTATCTAGAAATTTCTATACAAAACCCCCTACACCGGGGGTTTGTGTAGAAAATATCAGACGGTTATTTATTACTCCCCATCATCACGCTCAATTAAATTCGGCAGCGACCGCAAGCCCCATTTTAAAGAATAAGTGAATAAAGGCAGGATCAAGGTACCAACTTTTACGACAACGTGCTAGTAATGAGCGGCTTTTTCTGAGAAATTTGGATGAGATTTGATCGTACTTTGTGAGTTGATGAATTTGTTAGTAAAAATGTTTTCTTGTCACTCAGTATGGTGTCCCAAATCTGCCATCTCTCGCATCTCGCATCTCCCCTCTCGCATCTCGCATCTCTCATCTCGCGTCAAATGTAATTTGATATGATTACTTTAATGGCGTGCGCGCTGCCAACATTATGGCGCTGTTTTATGGAGCGCCAAGTGGACAACTGTATTTTCCCATTTTCTGTTAGTAGAATTAAAGGTGTTTAGAAATTTCAACACCGGTTTTTATAAAAACTCGGCGCCTGAAAAGTGGACAACTAAAATTCTCCAAAAGTGGACAACCCCGTTTTTCCATTTCCTGCTTGCTGAAATTGCGATTTTAGAAGTCTCAACACCCGTTTATACTTGGGTTGTACTTTGACGAGTTTTCCTGACGCCTCAAAAGTAGACACTTAAAAATTCTTAATTTCTGTTAGTAAATATTCGGGTTACGCGTATTGTAGAAACCACAATCTCGTATTCTCTGCCAGCCGAAATTTTGTCGTGAACCAAAAGTGAAGGAACTCAAATTCAAATTGTCTCAAGATCTACTTGGGCGCATTATTACAGCATTCCTCCGTTTGATTAAGAACAATGTGTGGGCTGTTCACGTCGTCACGTTTTTCATTTCATTTCATTACCTTGGTTTCATTGATTTTTTCTCGGGCAAGAACACATGCAGAGTTTCAGACACAAAATACAATTCAAACATTTTGAGTAACAGGCCAGGATTACAAAAAATTTACATTAGAAATATTAACAACACACCTGAAGAATTGCCCAAAAAACGAACTAAATAACTCTGGTGGCTCTCGTAAATGCTATTAAGTACAAAGAAAACAATTAACATGCATGTATACAATACCCAGTCTCGTCGAATATATTGCTTTTGGCAAAAAAAAAAACTAAATAAAGAACGCCAAAAACATTGAATAAAAATAAAAATAAAATACGAACAAGTAAATTGAAGACTGGGATATAAAATCTACGAATGATACAAACACTTGGCAACAGATAAGACAATTGACAAGTACAACAACAAGAGCTAACTTTTCACATTAAAAACTTAAAAATGATTAGGTTAGACTATTCAATTTTACCAGTAACCCTCCACCACCAATATTACATTGCAATATTGTTTCTCTTTACCCTCTTTCTCTCCCAACACAGGGATTCAGTAAAAAAAATCGAAATGTATCAGTTTATCATTTTTATTAGTGTTATTTCTTTTTGTGACGAAGACAACTTTATATTTTTCTGATAAAATGCAGCTTCATACCCAACTTCGCATATTCATTTATATACATGTAATCATCTTTAGAAGACCTAAAACATTGTAAGTAAAACTCTCAGCAATTTGCATTAGAGTATCTCGTGAACCCGGAATCAATACATGTTTTCTTAGGGAATTTGTAAATGACAATAATCCCAAAACAACCATGTCTTTGACAGTTGTCTGGAGGAGTGGGAGCCAGATGTCGTTGAGGTGAAACCCGATGTCTTGCGGAACTGTGTTGTTCTTGCGTATCTCGATGGCTTCCCGTATGCGTCTTGGATGCCAGAACTGGATCGGTGCGATGAGTTCGGCCGCATCCCAATCAACTTTGTGGTTGTTGATGTGGGAATGTTTGACAATGGCCGATTTGTCAAAATCTCCTCGCCGTCCATGTGCTCTGTGTTCCTTGAGCCCAGTGGGAAGGTTCCGACCGGTTTCGCCGATGTAGACTTTGCCACATTCACATGGAATGCGGTAGACCTGGCTTGGAAGAGGAGTCCTGCTTGTCCTTGTGAGTGTGGAGGCTGCCTTGGAGCTTGTTGCCAGATGAGTGGTACACCTTGACGCCGGCTTGTCGGAGGATGCGTTGGAGATGATGAGGAAGAGTGACTGAGGGAGATACAGCGGAAGGACCTTGGGTAGAGGAGACCCGTTGGTCACGTTTGCTGATCTTGATGCGGTTGGGTTTGTAGCCGTTCCGTTGAAGTGACGCCTGGATGTGCTTGAGTTCACGCTTGAGGTTGTCTTGATCGCAGACCTCATAGGCTCTCTGTACTAAGGTGCGGTTGACCGATGACTTGATGCTGGGGTGATGAAACGACCGCTGGTGGAGATAGCGGTCGGTGTGGGTTGGTTTCTGTAGACGCTATGTCCCCGGGTGCCATCCGGATTCCTGGAGATCTTGACGTCCAGGAAAGGTATGGTGCCGTCCTGTTCTTGTTCCATGGTAAAGCTGATGCTGGTGTGTTGCTGGTTGAGGTACTGGAGTCTTGGAGTGTGTCCGGGCCATGGGGCCACACTACGAAGGTGTCATCAACGTAGCGTAGCCACAGGCTCAGCCGAAGATCCGCTGTGAGGAGGGAGGAAGGTTCGAACTCCTCCATGAAGATGTCGGCTTGGACAGGGGATAAAGGGGATCCCATGGAGGTCCCAGCCGTTGGCTTGTAGAACTTGCCTTGCCACTGAAAACAACTGGAAGAAATACATGTTAGTAACAGATCATGAATTTGGTCCGGGGACAGGTCTGTGCGTTCAGCAAGAGTGGTATCATGTTCAAGTCTTTCCTTAGCTAGTTTGCAGGCCTCGCCTGTGGGGACATTAGTGAAGAGTGAGACGACGTCAAAACTGACAAGCAAGTCAGTGGGTTGGACAGTGAGGTGTCTGGTGACGCTGACAAACTGGGAAGAGTTGGACACATGGTGTGGTGTGTGACCCACCAAGGGTCTGAGGATTTTGGCTAAGTGTTGGGCTGTGTTGTAGGTGGGGGAACCTCGAGAGGCAATTATGGGGCGCAGAGGGATCTCAGATTTAAGAGTTAGGCACTCTCCTGAAGACGGTCAGGGCATACTGACCGGAACGTCGAGTTTATACCTCTGATTCTTTTCAGAACCAATCTCTAGTTGAGAAATTATTCGCACATGGTGTTCCGCAAACCTTTCATTATTTAGTATCTCCACCATGCAAAGCCTCAAATCTTACTTAAATTGCTCTCGCTTTGACTTTGAAACTCCACAGATGTGTCGACACAAACACACGCCAAAGACTTCAATTTTTCCCAAAAATGTTCTTTGATTGGTTAAAAACTGGTTACACCTCATAACTTCTTTACCCAAAATTGACGGTATTGGCAGATAAACCAGGGGGAGGGGGGGGGGGAAGGGGGTGTGGGGGTGCACGCCTCCCACCCTCATAAACAAGCCCCCTCCCCCAGTCGCCCATCACACTGGAAATTTGTTTCACCGTGGCTAACGGGCTAACGAGTTCGGTATCCTGATCTTCAATAGTGTCCATCACCAGTGTGAAGCTTGAGAAAGTCTTCATGGCCTGGCTACGTGCATAAAAGAGTCTATGGATTGGACAGAGATTCGGACATAAGCTGTGATGACGCCATGACGGAGGCGGAGTCACTTGGAACCGTCCATGTTTTGGTGGGTACTAGAGTGGCATTGTTGCGTTCGGGAACGTTCAATCTGCTCAGTTTCTGTAGCAGAAAAGCAGATGGCCACTTTTGAACCACCGCGCCGTGACAAAATGTTCAATATGCTTTTCTGGTAGCAGAAAATCAGATGTCCCTTTTTGAACCGTCACGCGTCAGTGAAAAGCAAAAAGTAAAACCTGCTTTTCTGATAGCAGAAAAGCAGAAAAGTAGAAACATGCATTTTAGCAGAGCGTTCAATCTGCTTTTCTGCTATCCTGTTAGCAGAAAAGCAGATGTCCACTTTTGAACCTCCATACTATATGCTTAAGTATACCCAGTTCAATTTCCTTCTGTTAACTAGGGAGTTTTCGATTTTGGCGAGGGTCGGGTGACGGTGATGGTAGTTGAAGTGATCAAACTGAGGCGTATGATGATTTTATGCACTTATTCATTACCTTTTTCTTGTATCTGTTTTACGAGAATAAGTGGCATTTGTTAAAGTTGCAGCAGTAGCTGTTAATTATTACAGTATCTCCGATTATTTTATCATTTTTATAAGGATGTCTTCATTATTTCAAGAACCCCCAATCATTTCAAGATTGTGCAAATTTACCTTTCAGAGATTTGAAGGTATCTTGTTAGTGGATTAAATATATCTCGAAATGTTTTTAAGATATCCCGAAATCATTTCAAGATTTTTAGATATCCTGGATGGAATGATGACGAATAAAGTCTCTCTCAAATGACGTCACTTTCTACAATTGTCAAGTGCATCGGCATTTTGGGCGTCAAATTTTCGTGACGCGTATCGCCTGCGCCTTGTTTCGAAGAAATTTCGAGCAACATGTACGCGTGTTTAGAACATTTTGCCATTTTTAAATTCTATATCTATGCATTTTGCACACTGCGCGCGGACGCACCTGATGGCGTTGAATACGCAGTTGTAATTTTCCTACGAAGATGGCGTCCTATGAGAGAGGTCTATATCTCTTAATGTATTCGGTGATATCTGTAAAAGCATCGTGATATTTCGTGGACGTGAATAAATATCACTTATGCGTGTCACATCTCTGAACTCCACAGGCGAGGAATCAACACAACCAGTTCTTGTGGCTATTGAAGAAGGTGTAGGAAAACATGGACACCATACACGCAAAGGATTGAGCGCTGAAAAGCTTCGGGCGTAGCGAGGGATACCACAGGACCCACGCCTTGAAAACCAAAGTATACTCAGTTTACTACTTGGATGCAATATAGACAGGGAGCTTATGGCGTGAAATTAAGTCCCGTTGGCACCGAATGATAAGAGCATGCCACCTAGCTAGATATCTTAATTAGAACCTCAGGAACAAGAAAACAAATGTTGACAAAATAATAAGTGTTGCAGATGGCGGCCATCTTGATTTTCAAAATGGCCGGAATGTTAGGTAGTCTGGTTCCCAGACAAAAAGATACTGACTATTCCTGATGAATCTGAGGTCAGGCCAACTTCGTCCCCAGTGCTCACTTTATTTCCAACCTTGTTTCCAATAGTTAACCCTGGATAGCAAACTTTCCTCCTGTATCCTGATTCGATACCGCAATTGGCTAGTAATGGATTTTTATTATGTACTTGGTGCTATTATTCACAACGTAGGCCTACAGTACGTATTTTCGCGATCATTCGTCCACGCCTTCTCGAAAATACTAATTTCCTTTCCAATTTGCTCATATTAATATTAAATATGATACTGCATGTTGTCTCGATAAGATCGTAACAGTTTAATTTTTAAAAATCGTGTTTTCATAACTCACGCCGTGCTCGCGCTGCGACGAATTGACTCTGTTTTTAACCCAGACACCGCATACAAAAACAAACGCTAATGTAACGCATATCCAGGCACCAGACTGTTGCTCATTTGCATACGTGTTCAAAAATCTTGCACATGCAAATTATCCAAGACCAGGGTGAGAGAGCAGGTAGTGATGGGCGCGTACTGTTCGACACCCTGGGGACGAGGTTGAGGTCAGGCAGCCTCAGTGGCTAAAAATAAACATGACGACATCGATGGCCCTTTTTTTAAAGCTCGGCTTCGTTTCCGATTTCGCTTTATCGCTTGTAGCTTTTAATGTTCATATCAAATTTTCAGATAAATCACTTGCTTCGTAATATCATACAGTTATGATAATACAGTTTGATGTTTCCGTAAGATAACATTGACTAATGTTGATCTGGAATCTTCAAAATTAGGCACCCAAATAGCACTGTTAACAGGCGGAGCCGAATGAAGACCGAGTTTTGGAAAATCTCGGTAACGGTCGTCAAATTCAAAATTGTATATGACGCAACAAAAAGTTTGCCCATACGATCCGAGTATATTTGATGCACAAATTCGTCGTTGAATTTCAAGTTTTCAAAATGAAAGCAATGAATATTGATTATCAACTCATTTAAAATAAAATTAACAAGCAATTAGCAGTTAATTAAACCTAAATTATATACTCGGAAATACTCGGGCGCTATCTGATTGTCGACCAAACGACTTCGGCAAACTTCGGAAATTTTCGGAAAAAAGAGGAATTCCTCCCGTTTTAGTCACGTGACGTAAATTGTAATACAATGTATTACCGGAGGCTACCGGACCTAGGTTCATCAGGAATAGTCAGAATCGTTTGGTCTAGGAACCAGACTAGAATGTTAGGATCCTTATTGGTGCTATGAAATCAATCTTGGTGGCTTGCAACATTAACAGATGCATGTTACATTTCTCAGAGCTGAATTCCATGCAATTTTCAGCTTTTTCAACAATTTGGTGGAGGGTTAATATTTCAACAAATTTTAAATATTTTGCATGGACATTATATTATTCCTTGCTGAAATGCTTTTCAATAATTTGCATATGCAAATGAATCAATCAATCGGGCTTGATTGATGACTGCATTTGCTTGGAGAAAGTGAAGTCTTATTAAAGTTATACCATCCAGGCAGTCGACTCAGGTTTCAATTTTTAATGACGATTTTCCTAAAAACAAATTCATATCAGAATTATTCTTGTTCAGGTAAATTTATAGACTCATGTTATTAGTAAAATCTTCACCGAGTATGCTATCCTTCTCAACCTTGATTTATTTGGTTTTGAAATGGGAAATAAATGTGCTTGGTGTATTAAGCCAAGTAAAAAACAAAACAAATTTCTTGTGTCTGCCCTTTTCCTTTTTATCATACATTTGCAATATATTTTGTCTTTTTGTTTCCAACAAAATTGTAGCCGTGTATGCCAGTTCAACATTAGTATAAAGGGCGGCAACTCCTTTGAACACAAAAGCATCTGCAAAAGAGTTGAGAAAATGGAAGAATCCATCTGCCATCTTGGAGAAAAAAGGGCCACCTCCGAGCTCCTTCATTTAAAGACAAATGTAAATATTCAACCTTGATTTCATATTTTGAATTAAAGGGAGCATAGATTTTACATGGGAATCATCCAATTCTATTAATATTACCAAAATTCTATTGAAATCCTCGTTCTTTTGTTTTTACTACTGCTTAAAATCCTATAATTAATAAGATCTTGACAGGATGCAAATAAGACTGATCTAAACAGTTCAAAAAGGCCAAATTCAAAAATGAAATCAGGAGACAGTTTGTTAATTTCTAAAACTTCAAAGGGTTTATTATTAACACATTTTAAACAGCCAATAAAATATGTATACTTGTATATATTACATAAATGATACATCAGCTAATAGAATTTGTCAATTACATAGTATCAACAATTTCATTTGTGCGTTTTTTTTCTCATTATGTCGGATAAGTATGTTTTTTTCTATAATAAATACTGCAGTCAATCAATCATTGCATTGAAAATATATTTGGAAGCAAAATAGTTCTGTAAAGCAAGATACTTCACAGAGGAGTTTATTTATTTTTTGATGACTTTTCAACACACACATTTCCTTTTAACTAAACACGTTCTTAAAAGGGAAGAACAAGTCCATTGTGCATTTCATTCAGTGCAAATCACCCATCATTAAAAAACAAAAACAAATTAATCCAATCCCCCCCCCCCAAAAAAAGGGGAAAACCTCTTGATTTGAATAAAACAAGATACCAAAATCAACAATCACTCCGGCAGTTAAAATTTAAAAAAAGAAGAAAAGAAAGAAATCAGTGATTGCCAGTCAAGTTCAATAGCAGCAATTTTTATTTTTATTTCAAAATAAAAATGAATGGCCTTGCATCTGACACTAAATAAAAACACCAACATTTTATTTCAGAATTCTAGCTTTGTCTGCTCCCCATGTATGTTACGACCGATGTCTCCACGAGATAATTTTTATGAAGATTTGAAAATCTTTCATTATTATAAATGGCTTGAATTTCTACTCCGGCTTCCAAAACAGCTTAATGAATGCAATGTACAAATAATTCAACACACTGTCCTTGTTTTTGGTTCCATCAGTCCAAATATCCAGCACCATTTTTCTTCTTCTAATTTCACACTATTGCTTTGAATACTGTTCAGAGAGGAAAACAAAAGCAAGATGATAAAACGACAATAGGCTGATACCCATAAATGAATGACACGTTCATAGTAACGTTTACCACGTAAGCAGGGCACCATGCAATGCAAATAGGGGGAAGACAAACTACTCATACACAATGATCACCACTGCTTAGGCCGCATCCGAATGACTTGGCTACGGCTAGAAGTATGCACCTGTCTATGGGAAGTGGCTGCAGCCACTTCAATAGGCGCATGTGTACTAATATCCAGCTGTAGCCAAGTAATTTGGACTTAGCCATAGTGTCAATACACAGCCATGTATAGCGAGAAGGGTGACAAATATCAATTTGGACTTCATTTTGTGTCCATCTCGGTTCATGAGTGTCAAAGCGTTAAGGGACTTGCAAAATACACAAGTTTCTCTAGTTTTGTAACCATTGTTGATAATGCGATCAAGATAACCCCAGTTTTGCATAATAGGATGTTTTTCCCATTCTGGGACAACAAAATTTCATCCCAAACTGGTACCTGTCATGTTGCAACTATTCTATACACGGCTCTAGAGACACAGATCTCAATGCACAGAAGAGAGTACATGAAGTATCTTCAGACTGGCCAATAAATGCATACACAATTCTAAGTTACAAAACATATTTGGGTGCTTGGTCATGCAGGTCACGGTATGTAAGGGTGTTTACGATGGTCACTGGGGTTTGCACATGTAAAACATACAGGCAGTGTCCAATGCATACACATACTTTTTGTCACGCTTAACTTGAAGGGCGCCCCCTGTTGACAGATTGCTCAGTCCACTTTTGAATCTTGCAGCACACCTACTCACTGAACTACATCTTTGTGTCCAATAGGCCTGAGACTTAATGACGTCACGCTTCGTTTCCATGTGCACTTTCCTATGTGGTAGACGGTCCCTACTTCGTCTGGCGTCCCGACTTCGCTACCATAGGAAAGCGCATAATGTAAACAAAGCCACTACGTCATTAGGTCTATTGAAAACGCAAATCTGTTCTACAACTCTACATTTTCCAATCCCAATTAAAAAATTGTAATTTAAAATCTGGGGCACCATCAAAACTGTTTTAAGAATCACGTATTGGTTAACAAGGGGCAAGTACAAGAGAATTATCCTCCTCTTTTCAAATTAAAGCAAACGTCAAAACAAAACAAAACAAAAATTCTTCAAGTCCAAAAAGTGAAAGAGCATTGAAAAGAGACAGTAGTTCATTAGTATATTCCGTGTCTCTTTGAATTAAAATTGGAAAGAAAAGGCCACGCTAAAAACAAAAATCCAGTTTAAAACTTCTAAAATTGCAACCCACCTGCTAAGCAGAAGGCTATTTCATTCAATTTTTAAAAATATGTTCCAAAAGAAGTACCGCTAAACTTCAGTTCTGGTATCTCATGACTTGGTGTGCCACTAGGCCAACGCAGAGGCAAAATACTGCCTCTGCCATTCACCCAAAGATGAAATGTCTTCTGAGCTCATTGTGAAAAACACCACAGAAAAATTCAAAGTGTCTGAAAATACACTCACATGAGTGTTTCTTTTAAAATGGGTGAGATAATGTAAAAAAAAAAAAACACCTTCCGTCGAAAAAATCCGATGAAGTTTAAAGCGGAGTTGAAAAATATTAATATGCTTGAAATTGACATTTTACAGATCAAAGGGTGTAAAGGTGCTTATTCAATAGCATACAGTGTATATATTACTAGGGGACCGCGCTTTGAGTACAACCTTTGGCAATACAGATTGGTTAAAAATACTATCATGGTGGCAGTAAAGGAGGGGTTAAACTTGTCTCAGTCCTCGTCTTTGTAGCGAGCCATGAAACTGGAATGGAATTTCTTGAATCGTTCCATCACGTCCTTGAACTTCTCAACGGAGGGCAAAATGGTCATCCTGTGGGAAAGATTCAAAGTTATTTCATTATTAAGGGAGCAGTTTAAACATCTGGTATAAAACTGGGCCGCCAATAACAGCCCTCGCCTTTGGCTCAAAACCAGTTAAGGGCCTGTAACGATAATGGCCCTCTTGCTTGGCTCAAAACCGGCAAGGGGCCTGGTCTCTGATAACCGCCCTCGCCTGTAACTTAAAACCAGTTAAGGGCCTGCTCGCTGATAACGGCCCTTGCCTTTGACTTAAAACCAGTTAAGGGCCTGCTCGCTGATAACGGCCCTCGCCTTTGGCTCAAAACCGGTTAGGGGCCTGCTCGCTGATAACGGCCCTCGCCTTTGGCTCAAAACCGGTTAGGGGCCTGCTCGCTGATAACGGCCCTTGCCTTTGGCTCAAAACCGGTTAGGGGCCTGCTCGCTGATAATGGGCCTTGCCTTTGGCTCAAAATTGGTTAGGGGCCTGGTCGATGCAGATGAATAATCAATTCAAGATTAATGAGGCAGAATGTTTGGACGTACCTGAAATGGTAGGTGCCTGGTCTCTGGCCGAATCCCGATCCAGGGACGACACAGATTCCGGCTTCTTCCAGTAAATGTTCAGCATAGAAGACGTCAGGTGCCTTACCTACCTCCTGGTAAAACAAGGACAGGGACAAGAGCAGATGAACTCATGATTAATCAAATTGTCTTAAAGGTATGTAGGATCGTTTGCTTTTCATGCATTATGTTTGTTCCAATAATACCATACCAATCAAAATCCATAAGAAGAATGTTCAAAAACTAACCTGTTGAACTGTCAACTAAGTGGATGTTACACTGTCAGAGAAAACAGTGAAAAACTATGCACAAGCCGTCAGACAAACTGAAGAGCAAACCCCTAAGCTCTTACCTTGGCTTTATTGACGGCATTCTGTGGTAGGTCTATCCTTGGGAAGGAGTACATCGCACCCATGACAGGGTTACAGCTGATACCCTCCACCGAGTTGAACGCCTCAGCGACAATCTTTGCCTTCTCTGCTAAAGTGGACAACACGTGAGCCTTCTCCTGCAAAAACCAGGAACGGAAAATTGGCGGGGGTTAGTGGGTGGCGCCAATCTACAATGGTGCTTAGCAGAAACATGAAGCAACATTCAGCTGAGTAAAATCACAAGCAATTTGCTGATCTATGGGGCTCAGCTTCACGGCTCTGTTAGCAAGGAAATTCCCTGCTAACAGGGAAATTCTGTGCTAACCCTGTTTATAGCACAGTATCCTTTAGTGCAGGCGCTCAAGCCAAAATTCCTCGCTTACCTGTGAAATATGCTAACCATAAGGGCAGCTTTTTCTGCTATAGTTGGTGGGATATTTTTTTTGCTTATGGTAAAGCAGAGCAATGACATTGGGCCCAGTTCTCAGGCAGGCTGCATAGCAATACAGACAGCATCATGAGCAACTACATCCCACGATGCCATGCTTTGTTTTCCCAAGTACTCCCATAAGAAAACCTGCGTGTCAACAAAGTGACGTGACTTACCTCTGAGAATGTTTCATACGATGGTTCCCCTTCCTTTGGTGGGTTCACGACAACGTCCATTACAGCCTATGAAGACAAAAGCAACAAAAAAATGCTTTCATTCATTTAAGATTATCTTTGACAAAATTGTTTCACAGAAAATTATTTCAAAGGGCTGACCCCTTTCCCTATCCAATTCGTATCACTAATGAGTAGCCTGGTTACCTGTCCAGAGACGGTGGGACAGAGTTTGGCCGAGATGAGCTTGAAGAGCTGAGTCTTCACCTCCGTATCCAGATTGATGATCTCACAGTAGCCTCCTCTCAGACCACACCTAGCGAACGAAGAAGAGGAAAAACCTTGCATCAAGTACGGAGCAGACGCAGGGAACAAGATGGGCGAGAAGACAAAGGTGGCTTCAATCCACACAAAATCCAGCATTTGTAGGATTTGAGGCACTTACTCTCCCATATACCCCTTGGACGTGGAATGGAAGGACATCAGCTCCTGGTTGGAGTATTCGTCTCCGAGCTCTGTCAAGACTTTCTTGAAGGAATGGAAGTGGCTCCCCTTAGCGTACACATTGTCTTGGTAGACCTGGTTAAAGAGTCAAAAATGAGTGAGAATAAGCACAGTAATCTGTGACTATGATTATTGTGCTCAGGAGATTAACAAATATCAAGAGTTGATCTGAGGAATCTGAGCATAAAGGAAACTCAGGGTTCAACGAAGCAGTGCTGTAGTTTTTGTATTCGAGAACTCATACTCTGGTAATTTTTGAACTTGTACTCGTACTCGCACTCGCAAGAAATTACTCGCACTCACAAGAAAAAAAATACTGGTACTTGTACTCATGCTCATGGCAAAGGACTCATAATCGTATTCATGAAAATGTTCTTTCACTGGAATTTTAAATTTAACCCTCCCTCTCTCAGTGCCGATCTGTAGTGAGTAATCCTATGGGTCAAAATCTATCAGGTTACAAGTTTTAACAGGTCTGTAAGCTGGCCTCATATTGGTACAATTGACAGGTTAAAATGGCTGCCACACAATCTGTACCAGTATTAATGGTCACCCTATCTATCAAACCACTTAAACGGGCTTTAGCAGTTATACGGTGTAATTCATAGTCGTTTCTGCTAGTTGGACCAGCCTGTACAAAAGCTATTGAGAGAGGTAGGGGTTAGGTTTTTTGACAGTTTGCGATAGTTACCATGGTTACAAGTATCCGCTCTGTTCACAAGTACCCCCTCACCGGCAAATAAAGTACAGTTGGGGGTGACTGAACAACGCCATCTTGACTGACTACAATATTTTGCCGCAAAGCACGGCCACTGCGTGTCGTGTACATACATAGTACAAATCCCCTGGTGTACGTGTGTCACACACAAGGAACGGTGCGCGTCAACCAGCGAAATGTCCCGCCCATGGGGCGTCATTGCTAGGTAAAGGGCGCCCTCTTTTGTTGGCGCACGGAGCCCATAGGAGGCTTAAGCCGTATAACTGTCAAAACCTGTTTAAGTGGTTTGATGAGTTGCCAATTAATACTAGTAAAGCTTATGTGGTATATGCAGGAAAAGGATCAATTTTTTTTTATTGTTTAGGATGCTTTTGCATTTGTCTACTGCCTAGTTGGACAGAAAGGAGCACTCCAGGACATGTGTACACACTGAAATATACTCTTACTCATGTAACTACTCATTCTCATAGAAAAAATGTCATTGCACTTGCACTCGTACGCATGGCAAGGTACTCGTACTCGTAAAAATGTACTCAACTACAATACTGTGATGAAGAAACGGTTGGTTGCATCACTTTGGCAGTTCCTAAATGGTGTAATCAGAAACTGAATCCATTACACTGACAACAATACACTGACAACAATACACTGACAACTGTTGTGACTTTGTAAGATAGTGAGTGCTGGTTTGTCAAAGATCTTCAAAGTTTGGACACTTGCCTCATCAGCTACAATGACCAGGCCCTCTCTGTGAGCAAACTTGATGACGTCTTCAATGTTACTTCTGCTGATTACTTGACCTGGAAATGACATAGATTGAAAATGGTAACATGGATTCAAAGCACTGGTCCACCATTGTCGACCACCATACCAATTTCAAACGATAATTTGTGAATTACAAGAAATTCCAGCCAGTAAATTAGACCACTATTTTTGTCTCTTTTCAGATGCCAGTTTTGGTGCTTTACTTTTTTTTTTTTAACTTAGTCTTAACAGTAATCGATCCCACATATTCACAAAACAAGATTTATTTTGGAAATGGTGCTAGTATGTATCTTAGCAAATCTGCCATTCATTGAAACTTGAAAAATTTCTTGACAGCCTTAGCGAAACATTTCAAGGCCAGCTCATACTTCACGTGAATGCGAAGTGAATTCGAGGTCGTAAAACATTCGCTGCAAACTTCACAGAAATGTGTTTCAACTTTTGCGAATTTGCATTGCGAAAAGTAGGCGTAATGTCAGAAATTCACTTTCGTGTTTGCATGAAGTACAAATCAGCATTAGGTTAGTCTCCAATACCTGTTGGGTTTCCAGGATTGATAACGACAATACATCGTGGTGTGCAGTGTGTCCTGGCTTTGTCTATCGACCTCTGCAGTTCAGCCACGTCCAGCCCCCAAGCATTAGCCTCGTCCAAGTAATAATTGATCTAGGAAAACATTAACCCATTTATCAATTCATATCTTCATGTTCGTATTACTCAATGGTAACAACTTATGCAAAAAAAAATAACTTAAAATTAGCTATTTTTTGTTTGTTCCTTTAAACACCCTTAAAAAAAAAGTCCACACTCATTGGAGGGGTCACAATTTGAAATTGCAAAGTTTGCAAATTAAAATTATCTTTAAACCTGCAACTTTTCAAACTGCATCATTTTTCATATTCCGTTGTCAATCTCGACCGATTTACAGTCTGTGATACCAAACGGGGTATCAAAATGTAGCTAATAAAATTCCCCAAAATCTATATAAATGACGTCATCATAAGTCGATCAGATTCAAAATTATGACCCCTCAAATGAGTGAAGATTTTTTTCTTTTTGGCGGTGTTTATTAAGGTAATTACAATTAATTTAATTATTTGTAGACAAATGATAATCATCTACATACAACACATACATAGGTTTTTACTGTTCTTGAAAAAACAACAGAAATGAAATTAAGTGATTACTTTTTCAACGTCCTGCATTAGTTTTTGAGTGGTGTGGTTACTGGAATTACTAGGCGTGAAATGAAAATGCATCCTGCACAGAAATTCCTAACAAAGGACAAGGTTATTTCTTGTTTAGTTTAGAATGAAGTGTGTCGGTGGGAAAGCTATGGAGAGCATTCAAAGCCAATTCTAAACAATAGGTGTCCTTAGCCACTGTGATCTCAATAGAGTTCTGTGATATGATACAAAGTTTCACAAAGAAAGAGGGCAATTCCAGCTTTTATGAATGGAAATGCAATGTCCGCGAAAGATCCAATTAACCAGGACATCTAACTAGTGATTAAGAGAAAGGATCTAAAACTCCTAGTCTGTAACTCCTTGACCGTTACTAGATGATAGGAAAGAATGTAGTATCTAGACGCCACTTCTTTGGCTGTGTACAAAGTCTATGGAGGGTGGAGTGCATTTTTAAAGTATTTTCTCACAAAATTGGAAATGCTTCTCAGTTCCAGATTCATGTCTTTTCAACATTTTTGCAATGACTGATGTTCACAGAGATAATACATGATGAAAAAAAGTGGCGTCAGGATGCAACATCTTTCCGATGATGGATGTTCACGATTTGAAATATACATTTTCAGGTTCACTCACTGCGCTTGTAAAAGCTCTGTCATGGACATTTCAGAATGCTGATATTGCCCAAATTTTTCTTTTGTTTAGCACCACTGTAAAATTTGAATTTGATGTATATTTCTACTTCTAGCTTCCACATTCCTGCCAAATAATGACACAAATCCACTTTTGTTACCTGTATAGCATCTATTTCAGCTAGTGTTGCAGAGTAGAGTGGATATTGCGGTATGGGAATCATAACTCCACTTCTCTCCTTCCCTTTACCAGATACTAACAGCTTCAGAACACACTGAATAATAAAAACAAGAAGTACAATCTCAAAGAAAGTAATGTTTTGACTTAAACTCTAAACAGGGACAGAGAAAAAAGTGAACCCCAAACTTATAGAATGACCCACATCTCCTCAAAAGAGGAGGTTTTGTAAATGAAGAAATCTACTACTTAGTTAGTCCTGAACAGAATTTTTGATGAAAAACAAACACCAAAAATCAATCAAAATACTGCAAGTAACACTTGCGCCATCCTCCTGGCAAACTTTCTGTCCATGTGACATACCAGTACGTAGCACTTTGAGCATAAATATCTTGTCAAATTTGCCGGGAAAGTCTTAAATTCTTTAAAAGCACAATCCTCAACAATAGGGTGAAAATGTACAAGTGGAAACTAGGACAAACAACTTGATATTATTACCCTGCTTCATTGCCCAACCCCATGTCACATTTTTGTACCCCTTTAGTGTGAAAAGGCCCACATGTTGGAGTTGCTAGTAATACTGAGCTGAGCTCTCCACAGACCTTGTAAATATCCATATTGGAAAGGATTTTTTTGACGTTGGTTTTCTCTCCACAGACCACTTTTCAAGTTTGGTTGAGATTGATGACTGAACTTACAGTGAACTGGAACACACATACACACGGACACACAGAAGGAATACGCAATCCCAATAGCCCCCTTCTGGCTTGAAAGCCAGAGGGATATTAAAAAAGGTAACACAAGTTTTTAAACCAAAGTTGATAAACCGCTTTGCGCTCTTCATCTCACCCTGATTCCTTCGCTTGCTCCAGCCGACAGAATAATGTCATTAGGGTTGCTAGGGATACCGCCATCTCGTCTCTGGATGTAGTCCGCTGCGTCTTCGCGTATGACGTCTAGGCCGGGACTTTCACTGTATGAACCTAAATGAATTAACACACGGCAAACACACACAAAATCAGCACACTGTGAGTAAATAAGGATCTTGTGCCTTGAAGCTCCCCAACTGAAGCAGATTACTCTGATTTGAAGGAGGCAATGTAACCCTTGCTGTATTATTGTAATATTTGCCAAAAGGCCAGATATGCCAATCCCCCTCCCCCATGGAATGTATTGGAGGATGCAAATATGTATTAAAGCATTACACGTTTTCATTTCTTGGGGTGCATGGCAAGCTCACAAGGGTCTGAAAAAAGAAATAGTGAATGTACAATGTACATGTACATGCAACAAACAGTATTTTCTGAAAGCAAATATTAATAAAAGCAAACCAATCAAATTTCAGTAGCCCAATCATAGAGTTTTCATTCCTTCATCATGATGTGTGTACTACATGTAGTATCTTGTAGTAGAATGTCATGGTCAAGTGGTTAGGCCAAAAAAAAAAAGTCTCCGGTTTCTGGTATGCGCGCGCGTTGCCGTAGCCATGCGCGTCGGCAAAATGAAAAAGTTTTTTTTCAATACAAGATGATGTCTCAAAACCGCCAAACTCACTGGTTTGACTTGAATCCTGCTGCTGCACAATTTTAACGTGTTTTTAGATGGGGTTATGATCGAGAATAAGCTTTATGTGGCCTCTCTGGACTCCCATATATTTGCACTAAGTTTAGTCGGGCACCATTTGCAGTCATCAGCCCCCCCCCCCCCCAAAAAAAAAATGGGTAAAAAAAAAAAAAAAAAAAAAAAAAACCGCGTCGCCGCACCACTTTTGGGGCAAGCTCCATACCAGAAACCGGAGACTTTTTTTTTTGGGCCTTATGGTGTTTTACTCATGTACGATGGTGCGTGGGTTTGAACCCAGCCAGGAACATGTTGTTTGTGCCCTTGGGCAAGACACTCAACTACAATTGCCTCTCTCCACCCAGGAGTATGAATGGGTACCTGTGAGGGTAGAGGACCGATTGGGCGCTGATATCGCCCGCCATGTGGTCTCATGGCCTGATGAACGGGGGAAGAATTGTAAAGCGCTTTGAGATTGTTGATACTATGGAAAGTGCTATATAGGCCTAAGCATTATTATAACACCTCACCTACGGATTCTGTGTCTTGATTGGCCGAGAGCGAGTCACATGATACTTTCTATTTTTGCTATCTTTCTGTGCACGGCCAAAAGTACTATACCTGTAGCAACAAAAGTACTACATGTATACCATTAGCAACCAAAGTACTATTTCCACGGCGCGGTATTTGTGTGTAAATGCATGCTGATGCGCGCGTTGCACGTTTTGTTCCAAAGAGAGCGCGCCACAGAGTTGAGTTCAAACATTTCACGAAGGGGTAGTTTGGAAGAGAGAAATACTTTTTCCACCAAGTTTGTATTGAAATTGAAGTTTATTTCAACTTTGTTCAGATTTAAATAATTAAAAATATTAAAACCAAGCAGAATCTGTGGGTGAAGTGTTATAAAACAAATATTGAATGCTTTATCTCGTGGTGAAGTAAAACTAGCCTCCCTCGGTGATCCATGGAGCATTCTATTTTCCCTCGGCTTCGCCTCGGGAAAATAGAATGTCCATGGATCACCTCGGGAGGCTAGTTTTACTACACCACTCGAAGCATTCGATATTTGTATACTATTATTTTAATTTTATTTTATCTTCAGTACTGACCAGAATGAAAAAAAATTAGTGCTGCAACTGATCCTCAAAGTTCGGTTCGTTTGCGGTTCGATTTTTTCCTCTGAACTTCGGGGTTCGGTTCGGCTTCGGAAGTACATACATAATATACATGTCCATACAATGTATTACTAGTTACAATGAAAAGCATACAATGAAAAGCATACATGGGCAGTTCCCCTTTTCGAACAAACAGGTGTGTATCGCGCACGTCTGACAGAAATAGGCACAGCAATTTCCACATGCTATTTTACACAAGTTGAAGGATGAATCTTATTTTTGTTATGTAAACAAAAGTCCGTTATAATTTGACTTGATGACGTTGAGAAATGAACATTGTAAATTGCTACCGTGTTACCTATCGCAGCCCTATCTGGCCCGGCAACTATGATAAAATTGGCGATCGAATTCCACTTTAAAATTATTAGACAGACCAAACTTGTTGGTTCTCAATAAACAGGTATGTCATAGATACAGGGCAGGGTGTTGATTTTTTTAAGGGAAATTTGGGGGTAAAATGACGATGTCAGCGCGGCGACACAACACGCAACCCGAAAATAAAGATGGCGATCACCGCGCGATGTACCGTGAACACGCACGGCGCGCTGAATCGCAAGGTACGAACCGCGCAGGAAAATCGTGATTTCTACCTCAAGAAACTGTTAAAAATTGCAAAACGGGTGTCATTAGAATTGAGAAGTCTGCTTTTGATTATAAAGGTGATTTTTTTAGCAATAAAACACATTTTTGACTCTAATTTGATCAAAACAAAACAGGGGCCCTACGCTACACGATCGCCATAAAATTTTCCCACACGTGCTGACGGGTTTTCCCGACAAGTTCCGTCCCATCCGAGCATGCCCTGATGATTGCTTCGTGGCAATAATTGCTGATTTGTTTTGTTCTAAGAACAAACAGGTCCTTTTACTGTGCCAAACTTATGAAATCATAATTATTTTTAGCAACAAGCTGACAAGTAGCTGCCGTATAAAATTATAACTTTTCGATTCGCGACTGCCATGAATATTCATATTGTGGACGGATCCATTAATTTTGTAAAGGGGTGTTTCACCCTCTTTTAGGAGATTACATCGTTTTTCGTATTCATTCTCAACGAAAAAAATATATTGCGAAAAGAAAGAACTTATTCTGAATATGGGAAAGGTTTCAGACTCCAAAAAAAGTATTTTTTTTAAAATTCTGATACAGTGAAAAAAAACTGAAAATGCTGGTGAATTTCGCCGAGGATAGCCGCAATTGGTTTGGTCCAACCATACTACGTCACGCTGGAACGAACACGGCGCAGCATGGGCCAGAGATACTGACCACGCTGCATGAATATTGCAAAGAGCACGCTTTTCATTGAGAAAATCTTAAGGCGCGTACGATTTTTTCAAAGCGTATTGGCCCGGTATCCTATTGTATGCCTTGCTAGAACACTGCAAATCATGAAGATGAATGCGGTGACTTGTCAACACTTACCGTGTTGACAAGTCACCGCATTCATCTTCATGATTCAATCATCTGTGCATTTTATTTTTGCCCTTTCATTGCAAGCATTAGCATACCTAGCGCTGTCAACAAATACTTGCCGAACTTTCCGAACTGACATTTGGGTTCGGTTTGGTTCGGGTTCGGTTCGGAAGGCCAAGTTCGGCTATTGTTAGTTCGGTTCGGTGGTTCGGCTGCAGCACTAAAAAATTAAATGTTCTTGGTCCAGGTGGCTTGACAAAATTTGAAAACTATGATTTTGATTAACTGTTCATGGATAATTCTTTTTCTGTTTCAACAACTATTGGCCAAGAAAACAAAATGTGTGTTCACGGTAACGCCCTAAAAACTATCCAAGCAGTAACAATGTAGGTAGGAAAATAACTTTATTTTGCAACATTTCTTTTGGTTTGTGCATCTGTTAGTCTTTTATATTTATTTTGGACTTAAAGCATTCTTTATGGTAATCTGTTTAATTAACCTAATTGATTTTTGTTAATTATCCAACAGCACACAAACAAATTTGCGTTTTCAAAATGTAGTTCATTAAAATTTTTGGCCAAATGTGGCAATAAACAGTTTGCAGTTCGGAAATCTAGCCTAAAATCCAGGTAGGGCGGGTCAAGGTTAACGCACAAGTTTTTTCAGGCTTTACATTTTGCTTGATGTTCATTGGACCTTCCATAAAGAACCTTGAAGTGCGAATTCCGTTTCAAATACACTGCATAAGTATTTCAATTCGGCAGGATTTGCACGTACATTTGTACACTGATTTCCGTCGGTGATAACTATCCACCTTTTTGCTACTGAGCATGCTCTTTGGTCCTCTCATCTTTGAGAGGGACTCATGTCCCCAAAAAAGGACCGATCGTGTTATCATAGTTACACCATTGTTCTGCCTGTGTTGGTTACAGCATCACGGGTGATAACCCATTGAGTGGTGATAGCATTTATTGGTTTGGGGTTAAGTGTTAGGTCATGCGATGCCTTGTCCAATTAGAAAAATTATCAAAAAACCAATCTGTGTTACAACATCCCAAAAGCTGGCTGAATTGGTGAACTTTGGTTTATAACCCACATCTACACACTGTCAAACTCTGAAGGTGTTTGAGACTTTGAGTACACAGAAGAATTGAGAACTGATTAAACTGGGGGCTGGATAAAAAAGCAGACTTCTATTTCACAAACAGTGTCTGGTTTTGGAAGCTGCTTTTATAGAAATTTTTCACTTTTCATAACACAATTGGGAAATAATAAAAATAAAATTCTAAAAATTATCTCTGCCTTAGTAGAATTTGGGAAATTTGGTTTGTGGAGAGTTGAATTCAAATTTTAAATTTTAAACATGTTAAATTTTGAAATCTAAATTACATTAAAAAAAAACCACCTTAGAAGGTGCTTTTACAGAAGTAAAAATTCCACTTTTTCGTAAAGAAAAGGACAAATAACAAAACACTAAGTCTATTAACCCTTACTCTCTGAGGGTAGTTTACTGCATGTCAGTTGGTTATGCCAATGCCCTCCAGCTGCAGTTATTTGGCAGATAACAAGTCTTAACAGTGAAGGCTCCAATTGGCAGGAGTTGGAGGCCCTGGAGGGTGCCTGATACTGACCAGCTGGGGGCACTCACTTTGTTATCAGAGGACTCTCATTGTTCTCTGTAGCATGTATTGGAGTGCCTGTCCAGTTACCCTTGAAATGACATGGCAGATATTGGAGGGCCATGCAAAAAACATAGGAGATTTTCTTGAGGCACAATTGGCATGCATTGGAGGGTCAAGTAGGGTAAGGGTTAAAAAGTAGTTTTTTAAGTAGACCCATGGAATTTGTTTTGTGCGGCTGTTTAAATTTAAATTTTTTAAAGATTTTGAAATTTCGATTACATCACAATGTCCAATATTTAATGCAACTGAGAGTTTGACGGTCTCCTACCTATACTTCCTCCTTTACACGAGTGGAGGATTCTCCGGGCTCGATTCTTGGCATCTTCGGGGAAACTGGGATCCTCTAAGAGCTTGGGATAGGTGCACAGGGCTACCACCTGGAAAAAAAATAAAAATAAAAAAAAATTCAAATTGACAAATGTGACCAGCAATTTTACTTGGATTATTACACAAAAAATTAGTGGCAAATTAAATTGTAATATCGTGTGCTTGGATACTGTAATTTCATTGGTTGAGAACAGTCACGTGTCCAGTCTGTAAAAAGCACAATAGTTAACCACATATACACTGTACGCTGCGCACGCATGTAGAACCTGCAGGCCTTCGCGACTGAGAACTCATGCATACATGCAATGCGCAATGGCTACGTCTCATGTCCAGCAGGAAAGCCTGCAGTTATCAAGCGTTACACTGCACTGACATTATTTATTTCTTGCAATAGTAAGTTACAACCATTTATCGTTTTGTCTTACAATGTATTGGCATGATACAACAAAACAATTATTGACTGCTGTGATGTGGGATATGCTGTTTGGTGCACAAGCACCCCTCGGGTGTTAGAAGCTGCATATCCCACATCACAGCGGTCGATAATTGTTACACGTAATTTACAGGCATGATATATTAACTTCAGGGATAACATAGGAAAAAGTGTCCAGCAGACCCCAAAAGAGTAATTTCTACAGTACAAAATGCTAAAAATGGAGGAAATAATGGGTAAGGCTGGAGGGAAAAAAAGAAGGAAATCCTATTAAATTTAGAAAAAATATTTGTCATCATGTACCATTTCTAAAAATAGCTCAGATTACTGGTGCAGAAGATCCACTGGGGATAATCCTTGATGACTAAATTTGATCTGACCTGACCTGACCTGACCTGACCTTGTATGCATATAGATGAGGTTAGTAGAGGTGTGCTGTTCCTGTGTCACCCATGACTGACTTAAAGGGAATATACATCATTTGCTTTTGCTGTAATTTTCAGAAATGGATGGAATTGGGGGATTGGAAATATAAAGCAAATATAGTTACACTGACTTTTTGGAGGTTTTGGGTTCGAAAATGCTATAAAAACCAAGAAAAACGATCATTTACCTGTAGTCTGGTTCCCTGACTCCATATAAGAAGAAACAGAGCAGTTTACATACATTGGGGAATTGTAAGGTCAGGGAACCAGTCTAGCTGGCTCGTACCCGTTCATAGGTTTGTAATCGATTGCAAACAAGTGCAATAGTCAATTGGGGCCAGTATTTGAAAAAAAGCCAGTTGTTTCCAACGCTGATCGGCAGATCAGCATTGGAAATTGATACAAAAATACCACTTTTCTTGAAAATGACAGTATACCAGGTGCCATAATTTTACAGGATGCTTTAGACTGTCATTTACCAACGTCCTATTAAGGTATTTCGCAAAAACTTGGTAGTTTTATTTTTCGATGTTTGCAAATGTTGTATATTCCCTTTAAGGCCCAAAAAAATGTATATATTTCTGCTTCCCGGGGTTCCCATATCTCGACTTGACCCTATTTTTTTCTGTGAAACACGTAAAATTGCAAAATGCACGTTTTAAATTTTGTTCCCATTTCACAAACATGCTCCTGAACAATCTGTTGACATCAAAAACCCTTACAAAACATATTCTCTTTCCATATCTGTTTGTTTGCTTATTTACAATGATGAATTCAGTAAGAAACCTCCGTTGTTTTTCTGACACTCTCAGTAAGTTTCCTTCAGGGTGATGAAAAGTATATGCGGCATGTAATTATGGTAGACTGGTACCCGCCACTATAAAGATTACAGCCAAAATGCTGAATGAAGGACTGGGAACAGTCCATAGCACTGAGCCTACAAGGCCTACATGGTCGAATTTCAACGTTATAAAAAATGTCACGCAAACATCATTGAAAAGAGTTAATTCACAGAACCTGATCTCTCTTTTAGTTTTTACTTTCCGTTTCCATGTGTATATACTGCAAGTTCTTAATACTCATTCTCGAACATGTTGTAGCAAAACAGCCTACATGTACAGTGTTTTCCAAATTTTCCACTGCTGGTGCATGCAAGTGGTTGCTGAGACGCTGAACACATGGCAGTCCAAGCAAGCACGCCGATACAGCGTGATACCGACCGTATTGGCCATGTTCTCTTCATGACTAGCATTATACATTATGTGGTGTTATACTTAAATCTTCCATTTTGGTTAAGTATCATCAGCCTTCAACCTTTTCTCCTTTCACGAGAGCAAAATTTCATCATATTGAGGTTTTGTTTTGATAACTTTGAAAACAATTCTGGCCAACGTACGCATTTGGGGTGAAATCGGCCTACACCATAACATCGTTTAATCAGCATAAAAAAATATTCGAAAAAATAAAACGAAACAATTACCAACATACCCGTACCTTTCCTATTTTGAAACTGCATGTAATCAGACACTAAAAAAAGTAGGCCCTATACATGTATATGTTTTTCTTGGCCTTATGTGACATCAGCATCTACCAGGGCAAGTGTCAACTGCTAATTGCACTAAACTAACAAATGTGTGGGCGGGGAGTTCAAAAGTACATGTACTGTCCAAGAGATCTTTATGTACATTGTAGTTTACACCCACCCCCCAAACAAATCTGTCTATTAAAGGTATTCACAACAGCTGCACCTCTTCTTTTTTTAAATTAACGATAAGTCAAGCTTTATCAAGGGCACTTTTTGTCAATGGATACTGCCTCCATTTCATTCCAATAAAAAGCCTGATGATGAACATTGCATTCCACCTGTGGGTACAGTCAGTGCCTGTGAAGCCAGTTCTAAGTAAAGTATTGTTCTTGCTGGGGTTATTTGGTAGGTTGGGTGGTTTGATTTGAGGGGGGATGTTGCTTTGTTAATTGTTCTGAATGAAGCAGGAATTTATGACTTGTTCAATTCAATGCCTGCAGAGGTCCAGGCTAAACACAAATAGTTCAGAAAAGGAGAAAAATACCCAAAAGTAAATGTGTCCAGACTCCTGACACACACACAAATGTGTCCCGACACAAAAAATCTACAAACTGTTGTTCTAGAAATCTGAAATTTCATTCTCTGCATGTATTTCAATAATTTCAATATGATTACCAGTAGGAGCGACGTGAAGACACATAATATTTTTAATATGAAATATTTCATATTAAAACAAATCCCTTGTATAAAATCTCCCATCAACCACAGATGGCAAAATGAAAAGCCATATCTTCACATCAATCCTAATCATCATACCAAAATTATTCATCAAGAATTTGTCAAATTACGATGGCAGTTTGGCAGCTTCACAATCTTTAACGTTGAAAGCCAATAATCATCAACAATTATTTGCACAATTCATCACTGTCTTATAACCCGGATCAAATATTGTACTCAACATAAAATTAGTGATTGTATGTGCTATCGGTGTGCAGGGATTTGGGCATAAAATCACTGCAATTGTTTTTACATGCTACATATTGCACCAGCCTCATTTCTAAGGAGGTTTGAGACCTTTACATGTCTGCTGGCATGACTTGCATCATCTAAGATGCTGCATCATTGATGATATGAGAGAATTCCCTGATGTACATGTACATTCGTGCATGTGCATGCGTAGTATGAGTACATGTACGTAGTCCGTAGGGCTAAGACATACTGATTTTGTGGAAAGTGATACATTTAATATAACCGCCCCTTCTAATTCAGTTTTGTATGCATACCCTATTTTGTATACTGATGCGTGAATGTCACAATGAAATCTGGTATAGAAATACAGGGAATCTGAAAAGTATCCATGCACACATGCAGTCTGCTGGCATGTGAATCACGAGTGACTACGCCACAGATTTAGTGAATCATCTTTTCATTTGAACCCTATTCGGACCAGGGTCAGTTTGGCTTAAAATTCTCAGTATGACGTCATTTGGTTGCACTGCTGTTACCACAAAATGGCGCTTTATTGCATGTGGCATAATTTCTACACTTTCCATTAAAATACCTTCAAATTTTGTATCGTCTTGGGTCATTATCCATTAAATGAAAGACATTTTGTTATCCAAAAACACAGCTTAAGGGCACTATACCTACTTTTGGGGGCAAAATCAATTCTTGTGATTTTGTTCCCAAAATTGAAACTTTTTTCAACAAAGTGGCACTACTGAAATATTTATGGTAATTAATAATATGGATTTTTGATGCAAGAACTGTAAAAAAAGTATCCCCAAAATCAAGAAAACTCTGCAGAAAAGGTGGCGCCAATGGCGGCATTGTAGTTTTTTTATATTTTTGGTTGGGTTTCTACAAATGTAGCTCATCTCCAAGTTGGCATACATACATGTATCAACATGTACGTGTTGCAAAATGTGATATCCCTATACAGTGTACTAGTGGATTTAAATCAGGGATGTTTTTGTCCCAGAAATGTGTTCGTGTATAGGGCCATCACATTTTGCAACATGTTTGCCAACTTTGACATTAGCTAGAACCAAACAAAAACATTATACCCCCAATTTTTGGATATTTTGTAGAAAACGACTTGGGGTATAATTTTTTATCAAAGTTCGTCTCAAGGTCACGTGATCCACTAGGTCAAATTAAGTTCAAAGTAAAGGTCAAAAGGTCATCATTTTGGATTCCTTATGATGTTACCTTTCCAAAGCAACCAAGATCAACAAATTTGGCCCACAGGTTATGGAAATATGGTCATTTGAAAATTGGTGGCCACGCCCATTTTGACCAAAATTGCCAAACAAGGGGGGGGGGGGGAAGAGCGGTAGCACGAAAATCGATTGTCTGATGGTGCTAAAACTTAAAATTTCAACTTTTTTAGCCCAAAGTACCCCATAAACTAAATTAGGCCACATTAAAATGTCCTTTTATTGTTCTAATCTAAAGAGATCTAGATCATTTCACAGTAACACATAATATGTTGATCGACTCCACTTTTTTCTTTTACATGTCAATTTTTAAAACTGCTTCCATCTTCGATTTTTGTTGTTGCTGGTATAATATAATATAAAGTTGCTGGTACATGTATGCAAAGGAAGCAGACATATCTGGCAGCCCCCTCCATGCGTATTTTATGCATCTACATGTAGTTGATCACAGCGCATCAACACTATGCTTGATTAGTACCCTAAATAATGGCCACGTATGCGCACAATTGTTCATGCAGGCAATGTGATGTAAGCACTGTATAACCCATGCAAGGGTGAGAATATTAGCACAATTAACACAGCAGGCATACGTCAGCTGTGTAAGTATTATCTATGGGAATGGGTCATGGACAATTTGCATATGGATTGAGGTAACGCAGTATTTAAGTATTTATGGCAAAACCGCATTCTCAACAAAACTAAGAATCACCACAAGTTTTATACAGTATGTATGCTATTATTTGTTAATTTGTTCATCTGTTGATTTATTTTATACTTTTTAAAGTTTATAATTGCTCAAACATATTTCAGTTCAAGACATCATAGTGCGATACCATTAACGAAATATATTAAAGCATTTATAATGGCAATTTTATCAGTTTCATTAGCTGAGAAAAATCATAAGGAAAAGCTGTTGTAGACAGACGCTGTGTACTGGACACGGACAAATTTCAGGTTTACATTCATTTAAACTCAAATCAGTGTACGTTTATTATGGGGAGGTTCCAATGTCCTATGATGGCCAAGCATAGGAAGTCTTAGCTTGGATTGGATTTGGAAATGTTCTTTATTTGAAAGCGAATCTTAAACATCGGACACACATATCTTCAAGAATTAGTATGAAAATTGTGTGATAAAAGCGTTTTTAGGGGGGGGGGGGGAATTGAATCTTTCATTTCCGTAACTACAAAACTCAAACCTTAAAAGCCCTTTTTCTCACAAATTTCACATTTTTGCCATGTCAATGAATGTGAACTTAAAACAGCCACAACTTGTCACTGGAATGTCCAACTGAAGTGCAACAAACAGTATTTTGTATGAGAATTTCATTTTCTTTCCTAATACAAGTACCCATAAACCCTAATTTCGACCTCTGCCCAGTTCTATCTCATTTTGCTAGAATGGCTAACAAATGTTAACTCAACACATGCACAGGCAGGCCTGCATATAATTAGTTCTACTAAAAACACCTGATAATTTGTGGATAAGTTAATCATATTGCTAACAAATTGCATCAAGTTATCTTATATTCTAGGCAAAGTCCGAGTAGCCTTTGAAGCTATTTCAGTTGATTTTAAAATAACAGTGTGTGAATTTAAACAGCAGTAGCTTAAAACAAGGAACCTCCTTGACCATCATACGTTCAAACAATAACCAAAGTTCAGTCAGACAAATTTTGAATAAACACATTTTTAATGAAAGGGAAGGGGGTGGTGGTTGGGATGGGGGGGATGAGCACATACCTGTCTAAGAAAGGTCAAAGGTCGCTGTCCCATTGCATGTGCATCACCAATGTTGCACTTGACAATGTCGTTGAAAGGCTTGGACGCTCCCTGTTACATCAAAAACAAACAAAGAAAAGGTGATTAAATTAAATGATTTTGTCTTCAGAATTCCATTCTTCAAAATACAACATATAAAACTAAGTTTGTTTTTTAATATTCCATCTTAGAAATAATTAAGTTAGGGATGTTCAAACAGCACAATTTTCACTTTGAAATATGCCACCAATAAATTCGTTATTCAAAGGATTATACAAATCATTCTGGAACATTCCAAATTCTATTCAAAGTATGACTATGAACATTTTCAAAACAATTTTAATATTCTGTGCTTAACTTGAATATTTTTCCCACTACTACAAATACTGGTTCTGAGTAGTATTGTTGATATATGTGATTTTGTTTTGCGAATAGAACTTCACTGTTCTGCAGTGATGGTTATTGGTTAAATATTTTATAATTAGTTTAAAACAGAGGAAAGTTTAACAACCACATTTCCCAACACAACTGTTGAAGTAAAAACCTTTGATACAGTTCAGTGACTCAACTTTGTAGAATACTAAAGGAACAATTTGCACTGCATTATAGAAAAGTGATATACCAAGAAACGCTTAAATGAATAATTAGGTAACTGAAACGATGATTAAAAGTGAAGATTCAGAATTTTCAATCTGAAATTACATGTACATGATGTACGTATGAAAAATCTTGAGAACATGTTCATTTTAAACTTCCTGGCACAATAGGGACATGACGGAATGTTGCATCCTGATGCCACTTTTTTTTCATTATTATCTCAATGAAGGTCAGTCATTGCAAAAATGTGATGAATCTGGGACTGAAAAACATTTCCAATTTTGTTAGAAAATACTTTGAAAATGCACTTGACTCTTCACAGACTTTGTACACAACCAAAGAAGTGGCATCTGGATACTACGTTCTTTCCCACAATACTCTAGTGCGTGGCCATAGAATAGGGCTAGGCTGTCATGCCGACATGAGAATGAATTTCAATGAAAAAAAAACAGGAAACTTGTGAAAAACAGGAAAAAAGATGTGAAATCAGGACCCCAAAACAGGCTCAAAATAAAAAACAAAAACACAGAAATTTGGGCAACCAAAAAAACCCAAAACCAAAAAACCCAAAACAGGAATCACTGTAGGCACATTCTCATGCCTGGTGATGTCATGAGTGACAATGGATGGTTACAATCTCACTCTCTCATTTATTTACCCGTACGTACCCGTCTAACCATCATGACCATGCTAACATTTACTCCTAGAACTATGAGGCTCCGCGTGAGCGGAGCCTCATAGATGTAGAAGCCCGCAAAATTGTCTGCAGCACAAAACACTAATAAAGTACAAAAACGTCCATCAAAATGCAGACATTTCACACAGAACCGCTGCACAGTTTGCCCCTATTCTCCGTATTTCACCTCTTGACATACTCACGTATCTTGGGCACAACTAACATAGGTGGATTCTGTCGGTTTTTAGGCCAAAATGATGAAAAATATGCCCTTTCCGCACTGAGCCAAACGAACACTTGAAACGTGCACGCATATGATCAAGCGATGATTTTCGGTTCGCTCGGAGCGCGCCGCGGGGGGTACGGTACATGCACTTGTACGCATGCACATACTATCATTTCGCCTTGTACCGTACCCCCCGCGGCGCGCTCCGAGCGAACCGAAAATCATCGCTCGATCATATGCGTGCACGTTTCAAGTGTTCGGTTGGCTCAGTGCGGAAAGGGCATATTTTTCATCATTTTGGCCTAAAAACCGACAGAATCCACCTATGTTAGTTGTGCCCAAGATACGTGAGTATGTCAAGAGGTAAAGTACGGAGTATAGGGGCAAACTGTGCAGCGGTTCTGTGTGAAATGTCTGCATTTTGATGGACGTTTTTGTACTTTATTAGTGTTTTGTGCTGCAGACAATTTTGCGGGCTTCTACATCTATGAGGCTCCGCTCACGCGGAGCCTCATAGTTCTAGGAGTAGCTAACATTTACAGTGACCGTTTTCTTTTTAGTGGTCAAATACCCCCCCCCCCCCTTTTTAGTTACTCAGACTAGGACACAAAATGATGGCGAACACTATGGATGTCCACATGCATCCCACAAGATGTACAACCAGAGAATGACACCATGGACATGATGATGGACTAGTGTGTGGAGCTATGGAGGAATGACACATGCCTGCTCCAGTTGCTTCTCCAACTCGTTCGCTCTTGCCACGATGGGTCCTCTGACCGCATACTCCATCAACTTAATGTGTGGATTCATTGTATCCATCGTTAGCACTTTGGTCCTCCTGGGCTGATCGCCCTCAGTATCTCCTGCCATCATCTTTGCCGAGAGAAATGGCCTCAAGCCGGCGGTCCTTGCTGTCCGAGATGGTCGCACGAGCTGGGTCAGTGATGTAACTAGCCGGCTTGTCGAGTTGTGAATGGCGCCCTGCATCTTTGCGGTGTTGGCGCGGATTCTTTTACGTTCCACGGGTTCACAGAAAAACCACGCGCTGTGGCTAGCTGTGGTGCGTACGTAACGTGAATGGATGAGGTTAAGGTTCACCGCACAGGCGCAAAATCCACAACCAAAAGTTATCACCACCGCTCCTACCTTTGCACTCAAATTACGTCAAGAATTAACGAGAATTCCAGGTCGAAATTTGTCGTGTCGGAGCTTGGATATCTTAACTTTGGTTCGGCATGTTCTAAGAGCTATTTTGAGGAAGAGAAACGTAATAAAAAGGAATACGACTCAGCAGCACCACTTTGCACCAGCAAAGTTGTTTCCATCAGTTGTGATTACAGGGCGCACCATATTGTACAAGGATAGGCACTGTTAATACGTCATAACAGGGGTGTCTAAAAAACGAGAAAAAAATTAATTTAAAAGTAACATCAAACTAAAAAACAACAACAATTGATCAAGACATCCAAGGTCAAAATTTATAAATGAATTGTATCGCTATAATGACTCTATGAGCATAAGAACTAAAAATTTACCTTCTCAAAAATTATACCTTTACCCCTTTTGAAAAATGGAAACTCCATTTAGAGGTAAAAGCTGATCGGATATGACTACTAGACTAGATCATGACTCGATGTGGTGGTGGATGGACTAGTCCTGTTCTTTCATTTTGTCAGCTCGGATCAAAGTTCATTAAATAAAAGGAAATACAGTTATTATGCGTTTTAATTTGGTTTGATGAAGCAAGTCTTGAAACTTGTAGTTTTAGGAGTAAGGAGGACATTACATTTGTTGTATGAAGTGATTTTCGTGGGTTTTCTCTCTGCAGTATGGTGCTGAAACAATGTCCACATTGCGATCAACAGGTAGGCCTAGGGCAGTAGGGGCAAGGCTGTTCATTTTCATATCCATCTTGCCATTTGCCTATTTGGGTTTTTTTTTAAAATTCTTTCTAAACAATTCGAATTGTTGCTGCATTTTTTGTGGGTAATCGAACGCTTTCCACACTGGCAATCACAAGTTGAATACGTAAAATTTAGAACGCTGAAGGCTGTAAGTATTAATTTTATCCAGATTGTTAGTTTCTTTTTACGGCCTAGTGTTAAAAAGTGTGTTCACATTAGGAAATCTTAACTTCTAAAGTGTATCCTGTCTAATTGATATTTTGCTATTTTTGTTAAAACCCATGTTTTGTGAAAGATTTTGCTGACATGTGAACATTGTTGTGAACATTACAGTGAACACAAATTTTTTTCCAAACTTTTGTGATTTTGGTTTCAAAATAAACTGAAATTGTTTCCGGAACCCATGTCACGCCATGTCATGTTACATTAGCTTGTAACTGTTCTTGTCGTTAGGTACCAGTGGCCTGCAAGGCGTGTTACTGTGGCTATGAGTTCTTCCAGCGGCGGGTCTACCATGCCAAACTTGAGCAGTCATCAGGTAGTCAGACGTAGAACTTGAGGATCACTAGAATCGGATGAGACATGGCAAAGAAGAGGTTCTTTCTCCAGCCAACTCAGAATTGTTATGCACCAACTATAGCAATTGTAGTTAGGACATTTCAAAGTATACATGTAGTTGCGACAGTCCTTACTATAGTTTAACTGCAGTTGGGATTGTACTACATTTTTGTACCTCCATGACTTCTAGAATGAGAAGGCTTCTCTCCGTCAGCCTTCTTTTTCTAGCATGGTGATTTTTCGGGAGTGTGCACGCTTTGTCTGAAATTCCACTTTCTGAAACACAAATCCACCAAAAAAGTTGATCTGGTTGATCTATAACTCTGAAATGTTTTTAGAATGATTGACATTTGGATCATGGGACAATTTTTTGGGTGGGAAATCTGAGTTTTTACTCACCAACCTCGTGTTGCTGATCTGACGAATACATCGGTGATGTTCATGTGTGTTTACGTACATTGCTCGTGCGATGATCTTTTCGTGACCTCAGCAGGTCAACTCTACATTCGGCTCGACCATTTGGGATGGAGGGGAGATTGTATGCTTTGCATCGCGAAACAGTACATGTACATCATGATGTACAAAACAGTCCACCAAAACTGACAACTTGTAACGACACAGCGCAGCATGTTCAGCGCGCCAGAATGACATACGTCATGATGTACATTTGCGATGCAAAGCATACAATCTCCCCTCCATCCCAAATGGTCGAGCCGAATGTAGAGTTGACCTGCTGAGGTCACGCGAAGATCAGCGCACGCGCAATGTACGTAAACACACATGAACATGACCGCTGTATTTGTCGGATCGGCAACGCGAGGTTGGTGAGTAAAAACTCAGATTTCCCACCCAAAAAATTGTCCCATGATCCAAATGTCAATCATTCTAAAACATTTCAGAATTATAGATCAACCAGACCAACTTTTTGGGTGGATTTGTGTTTCAGAAAGTGGAATTTCAGACAAAGGTTTTTCGTCTATCAAAGGGCATTTCCAAAAGCCATAGCGTGCTGACTCCCGAAAAATCACCATGCTAGAAGGCTGACGGAGAGAAGGCTTCTAATTCTGGAAGTAGGATTATACCAACAGTAGTTGGGTATGAACTATGATTGGGACATAACAGCTCCACAGAGTAACATGCCATATATGCAAGGGCCGATTCCTACTTGGCGCAAACTCAAAACACGAATTTCACAGTGAAAGTTTTGTGACGACAAATTCACACAGGCATGCAACTTTTCCTAGGATCTGCTGATTTCCTTGTTTTTTACTTCTCATGAATGACATTACAAATTGAAAAATGCTGTACAAAGTCTTGTGTGGTTTGGAGTTTCCTCGTTTTGTCTAAGTTCACATCATATTTGCATTTGTGTGGAGTATTGACAGGCCTTAAGTCTAGACGTTCGATCTTCATTTATGATATGTAAGATATTTCTTCCTTCTAGATCCAAACAATAAAAACCGACGGACGGGTCGGGTGAAGAGAGAGAGACCTGACTACTACAGCGCCAGTGAATTTGAGACACATCTCAGACGGGTAAGACTTGAACAATAGGATAACGGAAGTGTAAGGGTACTGTAGAGGATGTTCGTTCAAAATGGAAGAATATTTTTAAGTTTTTAACAAAACTGCTTTGAGATAGGTCAGTGGATGAATACTCAAATTTTTCAACAGTATACTCTGATCACCTTCAGAAACACATCCACAGTTTTATCGTCATATTTTGAGTACTTATCAACCGAAAATTGTCATCCAAAAACTATTTCAGTTTTTGTCAATTTGTTTGGCTGTCAGTTGTCGACCAAGTCAGAGCGATGTGGAAGTAGCAACAGCCCCCTCAAGAGTCCCAAGAAGAAACACCGAGGACGACCGAGGAAGAAGGGTAGCACACTCAATAAGAGCACCAAGACAAAGGTCAAAGGGGAAAGTTCAAACACAGGTCAGCCATGAAGTATTTGCTGGTCTCAGAGGGCCAGCCTAATGTCGTCTTTGTACCGATCTCACTGACTGACTGACTGAGCCGGGCAGTGCTGTTGTATAGGACTACCTTCTAATGCAATTGAATGGGCTAAATCAGGCCCATTGTGTAGACCAGATACATGAAAAGACTTCCAGTGAATAACCATTCTGAATCAAGCTTGTCTTGTTGAATTTAAGCTCCATGGTAAAGATTTCTGTGGTTCCGTAACTTTTTGAAACAAATTCTCTCTTAAAAGGCCCATGTAAGGTAATTTTTTTAATGCAGTCCTTGTAAATGCACCTTTGTGTCCCGTTTAATTTTCAATTTTTATTTTCCATTTTTAAGGGCATTTTGGTGCCTTTTTTGTTTTTATGCTAATGCAAATTACGAGCAAAAGTGTGATGTCATTTCAGGCAGAAAAATCTGTTCCTTGCTCTATGGTTACAGCTATTTCAGCTATTGCCAGAATGTTGGATATTTTCCTGTCGTACTTTTTCTTCTCTTTGGCAATTGCTGTTGTTTCACTACATGGCAGTAATGAGTATGCAAATGAGCACATTTTTTCACAGATGTTTTCAATGAGCAAATTTTGGGTTCACAATTTAAACCAAAAAAACCCTAAACTGAACAGTGTCTCCCTGAAATGACATCCACAGCAACATCACCCTCATTTGTCCAGAAAAGCATGGACAATTTTAACTGTTTAAAGAATTGCACTTTTCAATAAGATTTGCCAAAAAGGGATGTCAAGTTGGTTTCATACATTTAAGAGGAGTAGAAGATTTCACAAAGTATGTTCCCAAGTAGAATTCATGCCATGGGCTTGTTAAATAATAGCATGCACTATTGCTCTCTGCAGCTTAAGCTCTCTGTTTAAATGAAGGTTTTTATTTACAGAAAACCAATTGATTACCGGTACTTTCAACTTTGTTTCTGAAGATATGACTTTATAAAAGATGTTTGTTGTCATTTTTTGTTTGTTAACACAGAGACTAAAGACAACAAGGAGGAAGACGTCTATGCAAACATGTCTACGGAGAATGCCTATTCGTATATGGTGGTCCTTGCAGAGATCAATCGCAAACTACAAAGTCAATGGAACGGGCCGGGCTCGGTGAACAGGAAAGATACAAAGACTGAAAACGCCTCACAATATGTATTTTGTGAAGGTAACACGTAGATCATGCTGGCACTGAAGCAATGCATTTTGGGAAATCTGTCGGCATCCAAGAAACTTTGCACCGAGACGCATGCACTGGTGCAGATCTCCTGGCGAGGACCTATTCTTCACATTAAACACATTTGTTTTTTCCAAAAGGAACTCACAAAGAGGCATTTTCCCAAGATTGTGCAGCCTAGAACGGCTGTGAAAGCTTGCTATGGAACCATACAGGGTAACATGGCCAATGTTTTAACAGACCTTGTGTAATATTTTCCTACCATTTATATTTTTGAGATACATGTATCTACATTAGAGAGTAGACTTAGGACGATTATGCTTAATAGTTAATATACTATAACACACAAGTAAATCCTTGTCATTTCACTGGAGGATTGTAGGTCACGCGGCATTCATTAATCAAACCATTGCACGGCCTACGTCATAAACCGTACATTTTTGGTTCCATTCACCGTGCATTTTCGTCCCATCCCTTTTGATCTATTGCATGCGCACGCTAGACTAAAGATCATAAAGCGCCGCACATAGACGCGCAGCTGCGCTATACAATCTTTGTGCTACATCACATCATGTGTTTTATTATACGGCAGTACGAAACTTGCCTTTGAAGTGGATGCAGTTACGAACTGAATTTGCCTTGCAGATTTGTTTGCATTGTTTTAAGAACTCACAGTATTAATGTTGATATTGTAATTGGGTTTGACTTTTAAAAGACTTTGTTAACTTTCAACAAGCTGAAAAAAAAGTAGATACCAGAACAATTTTGTACATTTTGTTTGTTCTTGTAGTTTTATCCTCCAATCAAATGACAAAGATCTACTTGGATGTTATATGAAGCAAATAATGAATGCTTTGCATTCGTGCAGTGGTGAGAATATTTTCATGAGTTGAAAGATGGAATAAAAATATTCTCACCATTGCACTCATAAACATTCATTATTTGTATACCATTTGATTAACCTGCAAAAAGGAAACAGGTAAATCCGTTGGCTATCTAGTAAAATTAATTGAGTTGACCTGATTTTTTTAAAATCATTTTGTTGTTTACATCTGAGGTCTCAGTCTATTCCATACCCTTTAGTACTAGAGAAATAAGTGGTAGAATTTGAAACTAGTTGTTCAACATTAGCCGAATCTTCAAAACATCGTCCCTAACATGCATCCCCCCTTTGAACACACCAAACCACGCCCACCCCTCCCATCATCTTCTCCCCTTCACAAACTGTATGATTAAATAATTATGCCGGGAAAAACTTTAACGAACCAATTCTTAAAAAACTTTGTACAGTGTTAATATTTAAAACGATTATACGAATTGTCTATGTAATCATTTTTTTTTATTATGCATGTTCATTCCACATTGAATCGGCTTCCAATAAAGAAAGAAATTACTTATAAGTGCTTGTTTCTGATCCTTATCTTTTGTATGGTCGATTCTCTGGTGGCTAGAATAGATACTTGCTAGGATGAAAACACATCCAGGAATTTAGAATGACTTATCTAGTTATAGTGGCACGACAAGTGCCAGTTTACTGGGGGGGGGGGGGCCTTTGGCATCTTCAATTTTCTGGACGGAGAACTCCATGCCATACGAGCAATTGAATTTAGGCTTTTTTGCTTTTGTGAATTTTAAGAGAGCACATGGTCCTTCTGGTACCTTCCTTCTAAAAGTTATGCCGCTGTTCGAGTTACTTCTTTCTTTTTTTAAGTCTGAAGTTAAGCAATCAGTGAAAAAAAAAATGCGCAAGTAAACCTTTTACCGTTTTGGTTTTCAAATTCTCAGCATTCAATTTCTCATTGAACTTTATATCTGAGCAAGTTTTACAAATTGACAAGCTGAAGTAACGCTTTTATCCTTGAGATTTGCCTCCCGTGTGAAAGAAATGGAGTAGTCCCTTTTTATGTCCTCCGGTCCTCCAAATTCGGTTTTGATTTGGGGGTAGTATATCATTCGCGAAAAAAAGGTCTAATAAAATTCTCTCCGATCCTGTGTTTGAAATAGCGCCCTCGCGCGGGTCGCAAATTCATCGTTCAATAAAACGTCTGGAGTTGGAGTCTACGTACTTGAATGGAACAGCTGATGGCTGCGTCAGACCGCTGGTTACCGTATGTGTGATGATGTCAGTGACTGATACGAAATGTTATTAGCGTGAACACTGATAAAATAGGGTGTATTTGTGTAATGCTGAGGCTCGAGAATAAAGAAGCGTCTGTCCGATTCAAGAGGACATGTTTCTTGAGAATAATTTATTAATCAATTGTTTATAACATTTTGTTTGACAAAATGTCTAACTTTTATTTTATCTATCACGGTGGTGGCCTGATTAGTGCCTTGGGTTTTTCTATCTCAAGTCCCAATTTTGAACTGCGAGAAGATGAAGAAATTGTATTAGAAAAAGTTGGAAAACGCGTGCAGAACACTTGGTCAAGAAAACACTAAGCAAACCTTCCCTTCTGAAAATACGTCAAAATGATACAATGCTCTTTGACTACGGGAGCCCGTTCGTGCCAGATTTTAAAAGTGAAAAAATATTTTTATTGCGAAATAACGCAATACTATTGCGAAATAATGATACGAAATATTAATAGTATTGCGAAATAACGCAATAAATGTTTTGCGAAATAACGCAATAGTATTGCAAAATAACCCAATAGTATTGCGAAATAATGACACAAAATAATTAATAGTATTGCGAAATAACGCAATAAATGTTTTGCGAAATAACGCAATGGTATTGCGAAATAACCCAATAGTATTGCGAAATAACACAATAGTATTGCGAAATAACGCAATATTTATTGCGAAATAACGCAATACTTATTGCGAAAAAAACAATAGTTATTGCGAAATAACGCAATAGTTATTGCGAAATAACGCAATACTTATTGCGAAATAACGCAATACTTATTGCGAAATAACGCAATAGTTTTGCGAAATAACGCAATAGTTTTGCGAAATAACGCAATAGTTTTGTTAAATAAACCCAGTTTTTTTTTAGAACAAATGCTTGAGTCCGAATGGTTGAACCTATAGGCCTACTTCGGCCTACTTTAGGCCTACTTATAGGTAAATTCTCACGTCATATTTTCTGACAGATAAAGTTTTTATGGTGTATAAAACACACCCTGCATGGCGGATCCTGGATTTGTAAAGGGGGTTAGCGGAGGACAAGTAATAAATAGGACCAAAGACCTAAAGCAGTGACTAGAGATTGTATAACGAGATTGTTATTTCACGAATCTTAAGGAACATTGGGATTTTCGACCCAGTTGGCATTTTTTCCAGACGGAAGATGATGGTTAATCATCCAAAACATCCCCATAACCCACCACTGCCTAATGACCCCCATAAAACACATTTTAGCTTTAATAACAAATGGAGACTTAAAAGTACAGTTCTTTTTTAAAAACTTTTAAAAATTCGTTCAGTTCTTTAACAAGCTTAAAAAACACTTTTCTAATTCATATCAGTTTACGGCTTTAGTGATTCTTGATGCAAGGCATCCTTTTATCAGTTAAAATTGAATGGACCGGTTATGTAATTTTGGGTGGGGGTTCTTGCATTTTAAAGTTGGAAAATCATTCTTATGTAATTATCATTCGTTTAAATGTATTAGTTTCTTCAGCGTGGTGGAATATTGAGCGTATTATTGATGCATTCCCCCAACCCAAACAACCATTCCTCAAAACGTATCATTATATCAGTACAATTTCCCCTGCATTGTTACAATACGAATGCACTGTGGTTGCACCATTAAATTCAAGTGATTATTAACATTCTAAAGTTTGTTTCCTTCAGGTGCATGGGTAAAATGCAGTACTTGTAGTTGCGAGGGAATCATTCATTTCTCTAGCACGCGTGCGTGCTTGGTGGCCATTTTGAGTCGGTTGTGTTTAAAAAAAAATCATAACGCACATGATTCCATAGGGGGGGGGGGTGTGAAAAGATAATAAAGCCCTTAAAACTTGTCCCCCCCCCCCCCCCGGGCAAAAATGCCACAGAAATATCTATTATGGCAACGTTTTCTGAAAAGATCAAACATAGGCCTTCTGGTTTTCAGCACCCCGCCCCTTTCAAGCAAAACCGTACCACGACAAGAGCACAACGGATAAAAACGCAATGACGGACAGGAACTTCAAGAACATTTCATCAAAATGGACAAATAACGGCCAAACTGAACATCCGGGGTGAAGTTTGTACACGACAGTATTGCGTTATTTCGCAATAAGTATTGCGTTATTTCGCAATACATTTATTGCGTTATTTCGCAATACTATTGCATTAATTCGCAATAGTATTGCGTTATTTCGCAATAGTAATGCGTTATTTCGCAATAGTATTGCGTTATTTCGCAATAGTATTGCGTTATTTCGCAAAACTATTGCGTTATTTCGCAATAAAATATTTTTTACTTTTAAAATCTGGCACGAACGGGCTTCCGTACTTTGACTATTTTTTTTTTTTTTAACATCCCCAGTATTTTATTGGGTATTTAGTCTTTTGCGTATATTTCTTTCTCCTGGGCTCTGCTTATACTTGCCCTTTTTGCGTATTTGTTTGTTGGTTTATAATTTGCTTGTTTGTTGATATTTTTTTCCGGGTGGGTTTTTCTTAACGGGATATTTTTTTTTTTTTTGTCTGACACATCTTTGATGACAGTTTTAACAAACTTTTGTCTAGACCAGGACAATTTTACTTTTTCTTTTAAATAGATTTTTAATTATTGTCCGAAGATATAAAATAAATAAATAAAAATAATTGACCACCAATGGGATGGGTGGTCTCATGCGCTCTTGCCCTCCCCAGTGCCCTAGTTCCTTGGGTTGCATTTTTCTTGCTTCGTGTCTGGATTTGTTGCATTTGTTTGGATGGGTGAGTCTCTTTTTAGGGGGAGGGTAAACAGATGTCTAATCTGTCAGTATTGACGGTATTTTTTCACTCCATGTCCATCTGTGGCTTTCGCTAAGCCTTTCCACGACGTCAAATATTAACACAAATTAATTCATCTACATGTATATCAAACTAAACAAGCACTCTTACGGGAACCTCTCGACTGCACCGCCGAGTGCCGTACCGAAAGGGGGCCACGTCCCCTCCCGCCCGGCCCTCGAGGCCCCTTCCGCCATACGCCCGCTCAGACTTTGGGAAGGTAAAGATGAGCTGTTATTGCCACCCTTTGAGTGCCCTTCTAGAAAACGAGGTCCCTCCACTTCCCCCTGTCAATTGGACCCCATTAACACCACTGCCACTGCCCCTTGCTGGAGCGCGTAGGTATATGTGTTTCTAAGGCTTCCTTTCTGTCGTGCTCGTTCTTTCTAAACCCCCACCACCATCCATCTAACCGCATTACTCCTGAACCATCCCAGCATTTCCCCCACAAGTTTTCCCTTCCATCTCGCACGCATGCTCTCCCTAATGCATGAGCTACTTCCTCCACTCTTCCAAATCCTGCATCAACAGCACTCTCACCCTTCCTCCCTCGTCTCGTCCATCTAAGAGACTCCAGCCTTAATGAGATAAGACATTAGAGGTGATGCTGGCACTCCAAAGTCCTGTCATCACCAGTCAATCAAACTGGTACGTGGACGCACCTGTCCGAGCCCTCACTCCAGTATCGAGGGGTTTAGTACTATGCGAGCAAGGATTGAAGGAAATCAGAAGCTTCTTAAGTGCTGGCCTCTGTCGACTCAGACAGATCATCTGCTACTTGAGAGAAGATGCACAGGTTGAGAACATGAGCCTTAAAGTGAGGGGTAAAGACTCTAAGGCACATGGCAGAGCATGGGCACATTGTACGGTTGCATTCAGAGAGAGGCTGTACTGGCATGCTTTTTGGTAACGTGTATGGATTCTTATACGTAAAAGCTAAGACTTATTAAGTTCAGCCTCGCTTTCGTCCAATATGAGGATTCTGTGCAAAAGGTATACATTACAAATCTTGTCCTACACCCCCCTGCTGGAAGCCTATAAACCCCTTGAGCCAAGGTGCACGGATGTGGACTCCAAATTTGAAAGGGAGTATAGAAAAATCATCGATTTGGAGCCTATGGTTGCCAGTAAATAAGCCCGAAATTGCCTCCGCCGGTCAAAATACGATTTGCATGTCCTAAAATTATTGTCTGCTATCATAGCATTTTGTGGGCCATGAAGTTGAGGGCTTGTAAACAAGTTCACTAAGGCCCCCCCAAAAGTCTCCGGTTTCTGGTATGCGCGCGCGTCGCCGTAGCCATGCGCATCGGCAAAATGAAAAAGTTTTTTTTAAATGTAAGATGATGTCTCAAAACCACCAAACTCACTGGTTTGACTGGAATCCTGCTGCTGCACAATTTTAACGTGTTTTTTTTTGATGGGGTTACGATCGAGTATAAGCTTTATATGGCCACTCTGGGCTCCCATG